TTCTCTGAACTTTTGTATACTTAATTTTTCCCCAAAACTTAAAAAAAGGCACAACATTGAAAAAAGTCAATTCCCTTGGGCAATGAAAAAGTTGTAGTAACACTGAGAATCCTTAGAAATGTGATTGTTGCTTCAACTGTAGGAAGTGGAGCTCCTCCGTCTGAGCCTCTGGGTTAAAGATATCACAAAAGAATGAAGAATGAGCTTGACTGTGACCATAGAGATTCTGTCCCACTTACTCACCCAGTACTCACCTGAGAAAGTAGCTTTGAGGTCCATGGTCAGAAAGAAGCATCTGTAGATCCAGAAATTCTTATTAGGTTTTATGTCTACTGTCTTTCTCTTTCCACAGCCCAGTTACAGTCTGCCACCATGATTCTCTCCTCTTTTCCTAGATCTCCATTGTTTATGGGTAAGACCACTCTTGCACACTATGTGTGCAAGAATGTGAACTTGGAATGCGGAAGACAGAGACTTGAATCACATTTGATTCATATCATATAGTAGCTTTAGGACTGTGATAAGTTCATCTTGTTCTCAGCACTTCAGTTTTCTCTTTTGTACTTAGGGCAATGAGAGTTAACTTTCAGAAGTATTTTGAGGATTGCATGAGGTAACACCTACAAACACAAAGATTCTAAATAAAAGTTCTTACTTTTCCTTCTTCTTCCCAACTTAACTGCAAAAAGAAATGAAAATAATTCTGAAGGAGAACATTAAATTGATCATTTTGAAAAGATAACATATCTACCTATTTCTCTATAGACACAAACCTGCAGTATTCATCCATAATTAGTGGTTAAAAGCACAGACCCTGGAGCCAAACTATACTAGGCTCGAAGGATAAGTCTTTCAAAAATGTTTTGATAGACCTCATCAAAGGACCCAGCCTAGGCCTCCCAAGATGTGTCACCTTGGTATTTGGATTGTTTCAAGGTAAGGATTTCATGAAAAACTGCAACCATTACCTTAACAGTCTAGAATAATCAATTTGGGGGTATGATCCAGATTTATTTCCAAAAATAATCTTTTCTCAGGGCAAACATCTAGTTACAAAGCATCTGATTTTTGTTACATGAATAATTCTGCTCTTTCCTTGAAATTCCAAGGCCCTCTTTCATTCTTTAACTCAGGATAAAAACCCTTTGTGCAATTTACTCTAGAATGTACAGTTGTGTAGGTTCTCCATACATATGTAATTAAATTTGCTAATTTTCTCCTACTAGTATGTCTGATGTTGATTTGATTATTCAATGAGGTAGAGAAAAAACTCAGGTGGTTTGGTGGAAATTTCCTCTCACATCTACAGGCTTATATATATCCTTTTATAGTTAAGTGCTTCCTTTGTAAAATGAGTATAATAAATTGAACAACTTTATTAGATTGTTAAGAGTTAAGCAGGTGAAACATACAACAAAACTGAAAGATACTAAGTGCTTCCTAAGTGGTAATTCCTGATTCTCATAGTAAAACCTTTTAGATGAATAGAGATATAGAAATAGATAGATAGATAGATAGATAGATAGATAGATAGATAGATAGATAGATATTTATCATAATATTTCAATCTCCTAAAACAGAGTTTTGCCAAATACCTGTGCCAGTTTCTCTAAGTTGTTTTGGGCTAGCTATATTATCTTTTAGAAGTATCATTTTGTGTTAATAGGTTACATAGTTTTTTGCAAAGGAAAAAAAGAGAGGCCATTTAAACTAATTTTTCCTCCATAGTAGAGAATGGGAACCAACATTTATTAATTCTGTATTCTTATGTTCTATTGGTAAGCCTCCCCGGTGGCGCAGCGATTGAGCGCTGGGTTGCCAAGCTGCCCGCAGCCTCTACAGCGCCAGTTCCATCCCTGGCCACCAGGTGAGGGTCCCACATGGCGCGCAGACCTCTCCTGCCGCCCGCTGCTCCCCTCAGCAGTGTACTTTGGTCCTTCTGCCTGCTCTGCTCCCCGCTCTGGCTCTGGTGAATTTTCTCACCCTCCCACGCTTCTGACTGTACCCAGTGCTTGCATAAATAAATAAATAAATAAATAAATAAATAAAATAAATGATGGTGATGTGTTTTTCATTATTTAATTTGACTGTAAAATAGCTTTGCAAATAGCTATATTACCCAGAGTCTAAAAATGTCAGTGACTATTTTGGATTTAGGCTAGTAGATTATCTCAATATTGATTCATTCAATCAATCAGTATTTACTGGAAATCTGTTATGTACCAGTTTTAGAAGACAAACAGAAAATCTTTGCTCTTCTAGAGCTTTCATTATATTGGGATAGAAGATGGCCAACAAATAAACAATTAAGATAGATAGTATGACAAATTACGTACCATAGAGAAAAATAAATCAGGGAAAGCAAAATCAGGTGTTGTAAAGTACAAATAAGAATTGCAATTTAATATAGCATGGTTAGAGAATGTCTCACTGAAAGTGCACCTATAAGCATTGGTATGAGAGATCAAGAGATGAGTGCATCGAGATCCTTGCCATAGTAGTGAGGGACTAGGATAGACTGGGCCCTGGGATATATAACAAGACAGAAAATTCAATAACAAGAAAAAAGTCCATGACACTATCACTGGTTAATCTATGTTAAGACATTGGCCAAGGTTGACCAATGAAGAAACTGCATGATCACCACAGCTTATCTCCCTGGATGGAAAACATGAGCATAAATACGAAAACCCCAAGGTTGTTTTCACTAGTGGCAACCCATTCAGCACCTTTCTCTTGTGAGTGCTAGTCTGTTTCTTCAACCCTTGTGGCTTTGCATTAGAGAGCTGGCCTGTGTCTTTGAATAAACTTCCTTTGGTTTTCTTACTGCTGCGTGCAGTGTTTCAATTCTTTGTTACACAGGCTGCGGTTCTGGTTCGTCATATCATGTCATGTCACATGTTTGGCGGCTCATCCACAACAACCTCCCAGGCAGTGCAACAGCAGGGGCCAGGAGGCTGCTGTACAAACCACAGCAGCAGCACCACAAAGGGGAGACCTAAAGGATGTGGGTTCACACATCCTCGACTCAGGGAAATAAATGTGAAGGAGTTGAGTGTTCTCCACTGGCCATGTGCAGTGTGATAGGAGCGAGGACAGTATGTTGAGCTGCACTCCCCGTCCTTTACAACTCACCACTGGCACTGACATTTTGATGTTCACTGAAAATGTCTAGGACAGCAGACTCACAGGTCTGGAATCCCGAGAAGAAGACGATCTGAAGTGAGTGACACAAACGCAAGCTTACCACCCACCCAGAGCATTCACACCGGTGTCTTGTCACCTCCAAGCCCCTGCCTCACCTCCTGACTCAGCAACTGAAAGATTAACTCTCTGATCTATGGAAGCCCAAAAGGCAAAACATCCAAAATCATAAGATGTAAGATCTTTGGATGTAAGATCTAAAATCATAAAATATAGGCAAAACATCAACATTGGCCACAGTTTTGTCTTTGTGTATTCGCCTCCAACTGCAAGGGAAACAACAGCACATAAACAATTGGGAGTACATCAAACAAAAAAAAAAATTCTACAACGGAAGAAACTATCATTAAAACAAAAAAGACCCTATTCAATGGGAGAATATATTTTCATAATGTACATCTGACTGATACCTATGATTCACAAAGAACTCCAATAACACAACCAAAACAAATAACCCAATCAAAAATTGGGCATTGGAGCTAAACAGACACTTCTCCAAAGAAGATATACGAATGTCCACTAGATACATGAAAAAATGTTCCTCATCACTTATCACCAGGGAAATGCAAATGAGGTACAACCTCTCACCTGTGAGTATGACCCATATCAAAAAGACAAGAAACCAAGTGTTGGTGATGGTGCAGACAGAGGGGAACTCTGGCACGATGTATTTGGGAAAGTACACTGATGTAGCCCCTACGGAAAACCGCGGGGCGCTGCTCCCAAGCTGGGGGGTCAGGGAATGGCTCTTGAAACCCTCTGGTCAATATTGAAAAGAGGCCTCTGCAGAACACTAGTGAGAGCAGGCAAGGAGTTAGCGTTTATTGGTTGGTGAAAGGGCAAAATAGAGAGCTTCCAGGAGCTCTCTCTGCGCATGACATAGACTCTCCGAGGTGAACTGGTGTCTATAGGACTGTGGTTTGAAGACAAAGGAATTAAATTTAATAAAGTTTACCGATAGGTTGAGAAAGCAAAGAGAATGCACTTGGCTAAAGTCCATTTATTGTTGCTAATTGTGGGCACTTATCAGCTACACCTTGGTGGTTGTGCAGACTCACGCCAACTCTCATAGAGGGTGGGTGCCCGCTGCTCCCGTTACCGGTTTGCTCCCAAAATGACTTTTCTTCTGGGTCTGCAACTCCTTTTTCTTCCCATAGCAGCCAAGTTTATACGCAATGAAAAAACAGCTTAAGGATGCTCAGACTCGGGAAAAGTCAGTAAAAAGACAGTGTGGGTGGGACAAGGAAATTTATGGCAGCAGGTGTCTGGGAATTTGTCAGACTTGTTTAACCTCTTGTTTACCAATCCGTGGGAACAGCAAAATTTTGTCTTTGCGTCCTGTCCCTGCCTGGGACCCTGCCAGCCTTAGGATTAACAGAAAAAACAAAGAGACAAAAACTAAAGGACTAATTCCAGCACAGCTCGTTTTCCAGGTTTTTAAAATCCTCAACACAAACCCTAGGCTGTCTGATTGCTTTGCTAATCGTCAGCAGTCAGAATTGACTGGGGGCGAGAAAAGTCACGAGCGAACTACAACTCCCAGCAGTCATAGCGAGAGCCCAAACTCTCAATTTCCTAGCGAGAGCTCCCGAAGTTGCCCACCTAAGCCAGTTCCGCCCGCACCTTCAGAGGGCGGCAGCGGGTTCCGGCCCACAGCAGGTGCCGCGCGGAGCCGCAGCCAAGCCCACCAGGCCGGAGCCGGACCCGGAAGCGGGGGCCGCGGGAGGCTGAACCGGCGTCAGGACGTGTGTTGTGATGTCACTTCCGCAGGGCGGGGCCTCCAGCTATCCCGCGTAAATTGAAATGTCCGGCCCTTCGCGCCCGGCTGCAGCCCGGCTGAGTTCTGCGTCGCCGGCCGCGGATGCTCTGAGTGGGGCGCGTTGGGCACGCGTTTCGGAGCACCCGCCTGCTAGGTATGGGGCGGTGGGCACGGCCCTTTCCCAAGAGTGAGCGAGCGGGCTGCGGGGCTCCTGATGGCTCCCGCGGAGTCGGCTCTGCGCGTCCCGCGGCCTCTCCTCGTGGGATTCAGTCTTTCGGGAAGGGAAGGGGAAGGTCCCGCGCGCGCTTTCCGATCCTGAAGGCGCAGGGTGGGGGCTCTGCCTGAGTCAGGCTTGTGGGGTGTGGGGGGATGTTGGCACCTGGGTAGGGATGCAGTGGGCGCACCTCACGAGATCCCGCCCTCTGTGCAGACGGTTCCCCGCGGAGCAGGCACCCGTTTGTGGGACCCAGTTTTTCCAAAGTGAGCAGTGTCTACGTGAATACGCTCTCCGACCTTGCAAGTGTCGACACATAAAATCTCACCTTAATGTTGTGCAGGCACAGGGGAACGGGTCATCAGGAATGAGCTCGCGGGCCCCCCCTGCACCTGCCTGTGAAGCAGAGGCGTGAAGGGAAATTGCTGCGGTTTCCAGGAGCGCGGTAGGTGATTTCCTTAAGATGAGAGGTGCCGCATGGCCGGCAGTTATTCTTACTGTGCTGAAGAAGAAATACTTACCTAGACGATTTCCCTAGCTTCGAAGAAACTTCCATTAGTTTCACGATATGTTTTGTCAGTTTTCCTCGAAGTAAAAGAAAACGCTTTTTGGTGGTATTATCTGAGACAGAGGAGACTAATTGTTTTTCTTAAACTATGACTTGAGGACCACCTGCATCCAAATTATCTGCTTGTTTAAAATTCTGAACTCCTCACTTCACTGCAGAACAAGTGGAACACAGTCACTGAATGTGTTGAGAATCTATGAATTTCTGAAAATTGCAAACTGCTGGAGTAAAGCAACAGAGCTTGGATACAGTAGTTAACAGGGTAAGACTGACTTATGATCCTGTGCTTTCTTCTCACCTTTCTCCCAAGTTTTATGTTTACTGGGTGAGATTTATGTTGTGAAGTGCTAAACAATTGCTCAGTACCTATGGCTTTCTTTTACCTTTTGTCCTGTGGAGTTGGGGAAAGTAGTTGCTTGGAAAGGCCTGTGGCAGCTCCAGAATTTCTGTACAGAAACAGCATAGGTACCACAACCTGGATGGAAGGGGGTGGAAAGTTCAAGCAATTGTCTTTAAAATGTATTTGCACAACAAGCAATTTCACATTTGTTTAGGGTAACTTTTAGAGAGTGATAGAGTTGCTCCTATGCACCACCACTGCTAATGAACAGAATGTTCATTGCTTGGACTAATGCATTCTGATGACAGTTAATTTCACTGGCAAGTGCAGCTCTGGTTATATATTTCTGTTTGATTATTTAATTTATTTATTTCTCAATTGAAATACCTACATTTTCTAGAAATTGTTTTGAATTTGCAGTCCTATGCTATTTTGTATGTTGACCCTTAAATATACAAAAGCAATGTGGTGCTCTAGCATGTACAACTTTGTAGATGTTTACAATATTTTTTTGGAGAGAAGGCTCATACTTTGTTAGCACCTTCTCTGTACCTTGCACTGTGTTAAGGGCTTTGTGGCATATATTATGATTACAAGTGTGAAAGCACCTTGGAAAGAATAACATTAAGGAACTCTCAAGTGGCTTTAGAGTTAATATTAGTGATTATTGTGATATTCTAGACTGTAGAAATTGTTAGGGAGGAGTCCAGTTAAAATATTAAAGAGCAATAACCTCAGTTCATGCTAGAGCACCACTATCTAAACGCTAGTGGTTACTATATCTGCTTACAAGCTCTTTTCCCTTAATTTTCTAAAACTTTTGGGCAAATATGTTTTGTTTTAAATATTACTGTTTATCCTTCTCCTTTCATGTCATGTAGTTAACTTGGCATAATGGGAATACAAGGATTGCTGCAATTTATCAAAGAAGCTTCTGAACCCATCCATGTGAGGAAGTATAAAGGACAAGTAGTAGCTGTAGATACATATTGCTGGCTTCACAAAGGAGCTATTGCTTGTGCTGAAAAACTAGCTAAAGGTGAACCTACCGATAGGTAAGTTTGAACCTTATGCTAATTCTTTGCCAATTAGGAGTGAAACAGTTCTTTTTCAGAAAGGGAGTGTTTTCATTCAGTGCCACATTTATCAAGTAGCAAGGGATTACTTCCTTCCAAGACAGAGGTGTAGTTTATATTCTTTGTGGTAAGCTAGAATATCAGAGCACTGATGGACAAAGACCAGTAAGACCAGTTTTTTTTTTTTTTTTAATATAAAATAACCTTTTAACAATATTCTGAAAATTCATGGTGATTTCAGACCTTTATTTTCTTAGGTATAGATAGCAGAATGGGGCAGTTGGTCCGAAGGAACAAGACCATCTGACTCCCTTTTACTTCACTTGGGCCCAAAAAAGTTAATAATAACTATGATTTCAGGCAGGATCAATGGATGAAAGTCCTCTGTGTTTTTGTTAGTAGAAACATTAGAAAAATAAGTGGTTTTGGACTGAGATTTTCTACAGATTTTCGCACTATTATGTATTTTCTGTATATGTATTAATAATTTGCCTTCCAGAGGAAAGGCTCATAGATCTTAATTATTAATTTTTTTTTTAATTTTTTTTTTTTTAAAGATTTTTTATTTTTATTTATTTATATAAGCACTGGGTACAGTCAGAAGCGAGGGAGGGTGAGAGCATTCACCAGAGCCAGAGTGGGGAGCAGAGCAGGCAGAAGTACCCAAGTACACTGCTGAGGGGAGCAGCGGGCGGCAGGAGAGGTCTGCGCGCCATGTGGGACCCTCCTCTGGCGGCTGGGGAGCAGCCGGGGATTGAACCGGCTCTGCAGAGGCTGCAGGCAGCTTTGCAACCCAGCGCTCAACCGCTGCGCCACCGGGGCGGCCCAATTATTAATTATTTAAGTGTAATTGGTAATAGGTAAAATGTGTTGAACTTGTTTGTTTCCTAGAAAGGGGAAAAGACATTTTTGAATGGTGAATGTATTAGGCTTTCAGGCTGATCAGGTTAGTTTCAACAAAAGTGACCTGCACCTTAGGTGTGGGATCTCAAGGTACCTGGTCACTTCTGCTACTTGAACAGCTGGTCATTTTTTGAAAGCAGTTTCTTTTTCATCACTAAATTTCAACAGTTAAAAGTGTAGCTGAAGACTACAAGATTTTCTTTTTTAAAGATTCATTCATTCATTCATTCATTTATACAAGCACTGGGTACAGTCAGAAGCGCGGGAGGGTGAGAGAATTCACCAGAGCCAGAGTGGGGAACAGAACAGGCAGACTGATGAAATACACTGCTGAGGGGAGCAGCGGGCACGGCAGGAGAGGTCTGTGTGCCATGTGGGACCCTTGCTGGTGGCCAGGGATCGAACTGGCGCTGCAGAGGCTGCGGGCAGCTTTGCAGCCCAGCGCTCAACTGCTGTGCTACTGGGGAGGCCCTGGTAGTTTTATTTTTAATTTTATCAGGAACTTTCATAGTATTAACAGATAAGGGGTGACATTTCATTGTGATTTTTATTTGCATTTTCCTGATTAATTATGTTGAATATCTTTTCATTTACCTGTTGGCCATCTATATGTTGTTAGAAAAATTTTGTTTTATTGATGATTTCCTTTGCTGTTTAGAGCTTTTTGTTTTGGTGTAGTTCTGCTTGTATTCTTTTATCATCTTGTTTTTAAAAGAGCAAAATTATTGCGATAATGCAAAGCACATAAATATGTTTTTATTTATTTTAAAAGGTATGTAGGATTTTGTATGAAATTTGTAAATATGTTACTATCTCATGGGATCAAGCCTATTCTCGTATTTGATGGATGTACTTTACCTTCTAAAAAGGAAGTGGAGAAGTCTAGAAGACAGTAAGTTCTTTCTCTATTTAATCTCTAAGTTAATTCCATTAAAGTCAGATGTATGATAACAATGTTTTAAATTCTAATTTGTTGAGACCTTTTTTATAATCTTTATAGCATGAACATTATTATTAGCGTGTGTTATAATCTTTATGGCATGCCATTAAATGTTCTATGTGTACTGGAAAGGCTGTATAGTCTCCAATTATTGAGTGAAAGATTTTACTTCTTTTCGTAAATCATGCTACATATTGTGATATACAGCTTTTCCATATTGTTACTCTTTTTCTTTGTCTATTATATGTCTACTTGATCCATTAATTACTTAGAAAAGTATGATAGTGGAATTGTTGTTCTTTTTTTCTGACCCCTTTTTTGGTTTTCCTATATTTCTCATGAAACCATCATCCTTCTAACTTATTTCACTGAGCATAATCCCTTCCAGCTCCATCTATGTTGATGCAAATGGCATGAGTTTATCTTTTTTGATTGCTGAATAGTATTCCATTATGTATATACATCTTCTTGATTCAGTCATCTGTTTTAGGGCATTTAGGTTGTTTCCATATCTTAGCTATTGTAAATAGTGCTGCAATAAACATAGTGCAGGTTTCCTTTCAAATTAAAGTTTTTGTGTCCTTTGGGTAGATTTCTAGGAGTGGAATTGTTGGGTCATATGGTAGCTCCATTTTTAGTAGTCTGAGTGTCCTTCACACAGCTTTGCATAGTGATTGGACCAGTTTGCATTTCCCCCCAGCAGTATAAGAGAGTTCCTTTTTTCCCTACATCCTCACCAGCATTTGTTGTTGCCAGTTTTTTTAATATGTACCATTTTCACTGGTGTGAGAGGGTATCTCATTGTGGTTTTGATTTGCATTTCCCTGATTATGTGGGATGTTGAACATTTTTTCATATGCCTGCTGGCCATTTGCATTTCCTCTTTGAAGAAGTGTCTTCTTAGCTTTTCCACCCATTATTTGACTGGATTGTTTGTTTTATTTTTGTTGAGTTGTGTGAGCTCTTTGGGGATCTTTGAAATCAGTCCCTATCAAATATTTTCTCCCAATCAGTAGAGTGTCTCTTTATTTTGGTTATTGTCTCTTTTGCTGTACAGAAGCTTTTTAGTTTGATGTAGTCCCAGCTGTTTGTCTTTTCCTTCACTTTCTTTGCTTCTGGAGATGAGTCTCTCAAGGATGTTTCTGAAGTCTTTGTCATGGGGTGTTTTGCCTGTTTTCTTCATGTATTTTATTGCTTCAGGTCTTCAGTTCAATTCTTTTATACATTGGTTTTTGTGCATGGTTTTTGTGCATGGAATAAGATAGTAGTCTAGTTTTATTCTTTTGCATGTGGTGGTCTAGTTTTCCCAGCACTATTTATTGAATAGACTGTCCTTGTCCTATTGCATGTTCTTTGCTCCTTTGCCATAGATTAGTTGTCTGTATATGAGTGAATTTATTTCTGGTGGTTAACTTTGATACCATTGGTCTGTGTGTCTGTTTTTGTTCCAATACCATAATATTTTAATTATTAATATGGCATTGTAGTATAGCTTGAAGTCTAGGAGTGTGATGCCTCCATTCTCCTTTTTTAGTCAGGAGAGCTTTGGCTATTTGAGTTTTTTTGTGATTCCATATGAATTTTAGCAATATTTGGTTTATTTCTTTGAAGAATGTCATTGAGATTTTTATGAGAATTGCATTGAATCTGTAAATTGCTTTTGCTAGGATGGCCATTTTGATGTTAATTCTTCCAACCGGAGCAGGGGATGTCTTTTCATTAATTTCTGTCTTCTATTTCTCTGAAAATTAATTTTGATGGTGTAAAAAAAACCTTGGCTCACATTTTCTTAAGTTTGTTCCATCTTCTTTTGACACAGAGTATTGATGAAAATTCTGATGATCATTATGTATGTTTCTGTACCCACTATAAAACACTTGTTCTTTTTGTCTAGAAACTCAAAGGATCTTGGTTAATATTCTCAAGGACCTGGAGTGCACTTTCAAATGAGTCATCTTTTGTTATTCTAGAAAACTTTCTTAAATTGTTGTTTTATAGTAGCTTCTTGAGTTAGCCTCTGAAGTTTGGTGTTTTTTTTTTTTTTTTCCCCCTTGTAGAAGGCGAGAAACCAATCTTCTTAAGGGAAAGCAGCTTCTTCGTGAGGGGAAAGTCTCAGAAGCCAGAGAATGTTTTACCCGTTCTGTCAATATCACACATGCGATGGCCCACAAAGTTATTAAAGTAAGCTGAATTAGAAATAAAATCAAAGTAGCAAATGGCTACGTTCATTTAAACCAGTTATAGATTGCTTATTAATGGGGGAGTTAGAAATTAAAGGGTGGAAACTACTCTAGGCCTAACTTTAATGGTGGCATATATCAAGGAAGAGGAGAACAGTATATTTAGATAGGGTAGTGGGATCCAACAGTTTCCAAGAAAGAAATTATAAGAAATAAGTGGTACTGTCCTTTTTTAAATAAGTGGCTTATATAGGTGGACTCCATTGGCATGTTCCACAGAGATGGAAGGGATTGTTCCTGGAGGATTCATCTTATCCCACTCTGGTATAATCTCTGACACTTTCTATAATCCTCATTCTTGGGTTTTGTGAGGAATATTTCAAACTGGCCTTGCCATCTCAAGAGCTACAGATCCTAGTCTCCTTTATCTGCTTCTGCTTAGATGTTTCTTTGCTATCTCCATAAATCTTTTGTGCCCACAAGCCCAGGCTTTACTTTCCCTTTTTGGAACCTAGTAAACGCATCATGATCGAGGTAGAATCAATTTTTTTCCGGTTGCAGTTCCACCGTCCAGTTCCTGAGCTGCAATAAATATTAAAATTCTTTCTTTTTTTTTAAAAATCATATAAGAATATTTATTTCCCTTTCTGTTTGGGTCCAGATGGAAGGAAAAGATGAGGTGCATGGAAGGGTGGGAAGTATAAGAGAAAACATGTTTATAGCCATAAGAAGAGAGGCTGTGATTCTGCTCTTTGTACAAAATTAGGAGAAATCCTGACTGGACACAAATAGCGGTAAAATGAGAGAAGGATAGTTGCTGGGCAAGATGAAGAAATGAGAAAGACAGCAGATTACCAGCTGTCTCCAAGTTAATAGGAGCCAGATCTTGACAGTTCTGTTTTTTACTTCCCCAGACTGCTCCTCACCCTTGGGAGCTGTGACCCATGGGTTGAAACAGGGAAGTTCCTATTCTAGCTGCCTGGATTTTGAGACAGGGCTATGATACGTACTCTTTCTTGGAATTGTTATTTTAAAAGCATTCTGCCTGTTCAGTAGGCTTAAATATTAATGACTACATTCTGTAGTTTTTAATCAATACAGTGTTAGGTAGACTTTGTACTCTAATAGGATAACCTGTTATTTTTATGGGGAAAATATATTCAAAGCTCAAACAGATGTCTTGTATACTTTTTGGAATATAGCCATTCTTAATATGGAAGCTTAATATGGAAGCTTTGAAATAGTTAGGTTTTGTAGATTGTAGACCTTTTCAGCCCCTGTGCTGAATGGACAATATTTCTTTTCTCTAAATCTATATATTGACTTTTTTTTAGTAAGATTTCTTAGTGCCTATTTGACTAGCTTAATATATGCTAGCACTAGAAGTAGAAAAACTTCAAAGGAAATTATCTCTGAAGATATTGTTAGCATGTGCATGTTGAGGATAGAAATAAAACAAGCTTGCTATGGGAAGTTGTTCAGTGCTTTCCAGATGCCATGATGGAGATTGACAGTGATTCTCTCTTGTAGGCTGCTCGGGCACAAGGAGTAGATTGTCTTGTGGCTCCATATGAAGCAGATGCGCAGTTGGCCTATCTTAACAAAGCTGGTATTGTACAAGCTATAATTACAGAAGATTCTGATCTCCTCGCTTTTGGCTGTAAAAGGGTATTTGACTGAAAACTACTACATGCTACTTTTCTATAATGATGAAAACAGTATAAAGGAGCTAAAATTTTTTCCCATTAGGGATAATTAATATCTATTTATAATGTTAATTTTTATTTTATTTAAAATGAAATGGTTTTACTACTTGACATTTGTATGACTATCTGCTTTTTTTAGAATAATCCCTTAAAGTTGGAGAGTTCTATTTTTGTTTTGTCCATATTCTTTATTATAGTGGTTTTAGTAATGATAGCTTATATGTTTTAAATTTTTCAAGTAAATTAGGTAAATAAATGAAGTTATTTATTAATGGGGTCGTCTACAGTTATTTAGAATTATGTACTGATCTATTTAATGGAAAGTTTTATGCTACATTATGGGGAGAAATCAGGATAAAGAAAGGATAATCTTATTTTTTATTAGTATCTTTTTAAACTTATTTATATATATTTTTATAAGTGGCTAGAAGGATCTATATCAAAAGATTATTGTATATGAACAGTGATAGATGAGAGATTTCTAGCAACTTCTGTTTTTTCCTAAATTCCTATGGTTTCTAAATTTTCGGCAATGAACATGGATTATTTTAAGTAAAAGTTTTTTTTTTTTTAAAGATTTATTTATTTATTTATACAAGCACTGGGTACAGTCAGAAGTGCGGGAGGGTGAGAGAATTCACCAGAGCCAGAGCAGGGAGCAGAGCAGGCAGAAGGACCGAAGTACACTGCTGAGGGGAGCAGTGGGCAGCAGGAGAGGTCTGCACGCCATGTGGTACCCTCTTCTGGTGGCCGGGGAGCAGCCGGGGATTGAACCAGCGCTGCCGGCAGCTTCGCAACCCAGGGCTCAACCACTGCGCCACCAGGGAGGCCCATTAAGTAAAAGTTTTAAGATGTGAAAGTGCAAAGTTAGGAGAAATGCTTATGTATGAATTGTTGTTTGATCACCATAACAATCCTGTATTGTAGGTAGGAAGTAGAGAGGTGCAGAAAGGGCATTCTTTTATACCAGAGAAATTACAACAGAGCCCTGGTATATGACCTTTTCTAGTCAGTGCTTAGACTTCAGTATGATTGTTTTGCAGATTTCACTATAATCAAATGACCTACCTTTTCTCTCACTGTGTGATGATGAACAAGAAAGATTTCTTAGAAATACTGTAGTGGTTTAGAAATAAAAAATAAAAATGGCCCTTAGAGATATTAACAGTTTCCTTCCATTTGAAGGTGATTTTAAAAATGGATCAGTTTGGAAATGGACTAGAAATTGATCAGGCTCGGCTTGGAATGTGCAGACAGCTTGGGGATGTGTTCACAGAAGAGAAGTTCCGTTATATGTGCATTCTCTCAGGCTGTGACTATCTCTCATCACTGCGTGGGATAGGATTAGCAAAGGCCTGCAAGGTTCTAAGACTAGCCAATAACCCAGATATTGTAAAGGTAAGTGATTTACTGAAGGCCACATTTAATTTCTGAAGCATTTCTTCAATAATAGAATAAATTATCTGGAATACGGATTGTAAGTATTTTATCAAAAGCCTATATTATGTCATTGAAAGGAGAAAATGATTAAAACTCTAAAGCTTTACTTTTGACTGCTGGAGGACCATGTTTCAGCTATTGTTAAAAAGTAGTAATGTTTTAAAGGAAGGCTAATACAGACTTAAGGGCCATATACTCTGGGGTGGAATTCATGTTGAAACATATGATCTTTTGGGGCTCCCTAGTGGCACAAGGGGTTAAGTCTCAGCACAGTGAAGCTATCAGCAGCTACTGCAGCACTAGTTTGATCCATTCCCAGCCAGGGAGCTGATCCACATGGCGCAGCAGACCTCTCCTGTCTCCCCTGCTGCTCGTTCTGCTCTCCACTCTGTGGTGAATCTTCTCACCGCCCCTCCCCCCACACACACACACCGGCCTATACTCCAGTTCTTGGATGCATAAATAAAATAAATCTTTAAAAAAAACTTAAAAGAACATGATCTTTTGATTTTGATCCTATTATTCTATAGTAGTGGTTCAGTCTTTTTGATCTAAGGATCCCTTTGTACTTTTAACTGCTTAGAGTAGGGAGCAGAACAGGCGGATTTAAAGAAATACACTGCTGAGGGGAGCAGTAAGTGAGACAGGAGAGTTCTGCTGCACCATGTGTGTTAGCTCCCTGGGCAGGGATTGAACTCTTGCCACAGTGGCTGGCGATAGCTTTTTTTTTTTTTTTTTTTTTTTATTTTTTTTTATAGAGGCATGCTTTTATTTTATTTTATTTTACTTGTTTGTTTGTTTGTTTTATACATGCACTGGGTACAGTCAGAAGCGCGAGAGGGCGAGAGAATTCACCAGAGCCAGAGCGGGGAGCAGAGCAGGCAGAAGGACCGAAGTACACTGCTGAGGGGAGCAGCGGGCGGCAGGAGAGGTCTGCGCGCCATGTGGGACCCTCCTGTGGTGGCCGGGGAGCAGCCGGGGATCGAACCGGCGCCGCAGAGGTCACGGGCAGCTTCGCAACCCAGCGCTCAACCGCTGCGCCACCGGGGAGGCCCGGCTGGCGATAGCTTTATAGTGCTGAGACTTTAACCTCTGCACCACTAGGAAGGCCCTATCCAGATTGCTTTAATGAGACTTAATCAAAGACAGCTGGGTTCTCATTCTACTCCTTTGTTTAATCTGATAGAAAATCGTGTCATGTATACACTGGAAAAACTGACACTACGTATTAGTGCTCTATAATTTATCTCATCTTTTTTTTTTTAAATCAGGACATGGCAAGTTTATTAAGGAAAGAAAAAAGAGAAGCCTACATAGACACAGGCGGGCAGTGAACTGCCATTTCTGTCATATTTTTACCTTAAAGAAATAATCATGCATTAAAGATTCTCATCTCCCCCACTTCCATACCTGTTGCAAAGTTCCCTAACACCTTTAGAATTTGCAGAGCATAATTCCAGTTTTCTATCTCCAAGCATACAAAGTGTGAGTCCTCGTGGCTAAGGGTGATATAGTATAATAGGATCTCAAGATTGGTGATAGTGACAGAGTCTATGACTCCAGGATAACTACAGTTCTCTGGAGCTTCCCTTCATCTATGAATTTGACCTAAAATACTTGAAATCCCTTCCAGCTATACACATCCATGACTCTAACAGAAGTTAGAATATCATCTTAGTCTTATAAATATAAGAATATTTGGGTTTTTTAATTCTTGGGTTTTGTATGTTGTTTGCTTTTTGCTTTCTGGATAAAAGGAACTCTGAAAGTAAAGATTATATCTTAAAGTTACACCTAGTAATAGAAACTTGTATTTAACTGTATTTTTCATTCTTTGGATTCATATTGCAAAAACCAAAGAAAATACTGTTACAGAGATTTACAATTTTAAGTGATATGACATTTTAGTGTATGATTATGTTTACCAGTAAAGTTTTTTTTTTTTTCAAGATTTATTTATTTATGCATACAAGAACTGGGGTACAGACTAGAGGTATGGGGGAATGAGAGGATTCACCAGAGAGAGTGGGGAGCAGAATAGGTAGATACTACTGAAATACACTACTGAGGGGAGCAGCGGGCAAGGCAGGAGAGGTCTGCTGTGCCATGTGGATTGCTCCCTGGCGGTGGCTGACCAGGGATCAAACTCATGCTGCAGTTGCTGGCGATAGCTTGCTAGCGCTGTGTTTAACCCCTGTGCCTCCAGGGAGGCCCCTTACCAGTAAAATTTTTTAATGTAGGCAAAAGCAATTGATTTTTCTGAACTTCCTTGTCCTCTTTTGATATAAACTGATTTATCTCAGGGGATATACATACTCCATTTGTTATTTGAAGATAACTCTTTTTTTTTTTTTTTTACATTCATTATTAGGTTATCAAGAAAATTGGACATTATCTGAAAATGAATATAACAGTACCAGAAGATTACATCACAGGGTTTATTCGGGCTAACAATACCTTCCTTTATCAGCTAGTTTTTGATCCCATCCAAAGAAAACTTATCCCTCTGAATGCCTATGAAGATGACATTGATCCAGAAACACTAAGCTATGCTGGGCAGTATCCTTTCTGAACCTGAATGTTAGAATTTTATATGACTTACGTGATTTTATGGTACTATTTTTTTTGCAAAACATTTGGTAAAAAACTTGCAAATTATTTGTTTGCCTTTATGTTTGGTTTTTTTGGGGAATGTGTGTGTATATATATTTATATATGTATATATATTAATTTCTACTAGGGGGAATTTGGAATAACTTTGTTTCAAGTTTCCAAATTTGAAACTCAATCACTATAATTTGCTAATTACTTAAATTGGCTTGACAGAAACATAGGTGGTCACTTAAGGTACATATTTCAAAGGTGGATTTAAAATGAAGCCCTTGTGGCAAGCAACTTAATTTATTAATAATAGTGTTTTTGGGTATGTAAAATCATCAGGAAAAGAAACCCTTCCCACAGTGGCCTTGTGCACTCTGGGTGATGACCAGATCTTTTCTCTCTATCTCCCTTGAAAGGGATTAAGCGATGACTTGGGCTTTGCCTCAGAAAACAGTCACCTCCTGTGGTGGCCAGTAGACTAATAAATAATGCCTGTTGTTTTAGTAATACTGAATTTAACAAGTAAATAAGATTAATTAAGTAATAAATCTGAAAGTTTTCAGTAACAATAGAAAGTATTTTTTTCTATTTTACTATGCTTATTAAGTTGTTAATAAAACTGTTTTCCTTAATGTTGCCAACTTAGGTATGTTGATGATTCTATAGCTCTTCAGATAGCACTTGGAAATAAAGATATAAATACTTTTGAACAGATCGATGACTACAATCCAGACACTGTTATGGTAACATTTTAATAACTTCCTTGTAAAAGAGCACATTTTAGTTAGAGACTAAATCAGTAAGGAACAGTGATTAAATGCAAATTTTCATTTAGTAAACAGCTCTTTAGCATTTCTGTAGCCATGCCTTATGCAGAGTATAACTTGGAAACAACTTCTTGCTGAAGAAATTATCTCTTAAAATATAGGCATACTGGTTAATTTTCTTAAAAAGTAATTGTTTATATTAGCAAACATTTAGGATATATATATATATATACCAATGCCTATTTTCTCATCTCAGCGTATTCAGCCTCTGACATTCAGCATTGTCAGAGACTCAAACCTAGAAACATTGCTCTTTGGAATAAAAGCTGCTGTTTGACTCATTCGCAGTTTAGCAAATATTTCTTCTTGCTATGTGTCATGGAGCCCTTTGTCATTTCTTCCACTTTTTCACTATTATATGTATTTCTTAAGGTATTCTCTTTCACCATTCTCTTTTCTGTTCATATTTATTACTTATGTAAGTTCTTTTGACTTCAGTTATGCCATTTATGCAAAGAATTCGAACAGCTTTAACCCATTCTAGTCTCTGCAACAGCCCCCTTACTTCTCCCTCCCCCTGCCATAAATCTCTCTTGAAGCTCTACATAAGTGAAATGCCATCACACCTGTGAGATAGGCCCATATCAAAAAGAACAGAGGCTACAGAGAAGAAAAAGAAACCCTGGTGCAATGTCCAGCCCGTAATGGAATATAGTATGGAGATTTCTCAAAATACTAAAAATAGATCTACCATATGATCCAGTATTTATATTCCTAGGCATCTAGCTGAGAACAATACTAATTTCAAGGGACATACGCACTTCTATGTTCATTGCAGCTCTATTTACAATAACCAAGCTAAGGAAACAACTTAAGTTTCCAAAGACAGATGAGTAGATTAGGAAAATGTATATATGCACAATGGTTAGCTATAAAAAAAGATAGAACTGAGCTTTGCATCACATTGACTGGATCCGAAGGGGGTTATGCTCAGAAAAATAAATCAGAAGGAAAAAGACAAATACTGCGTGGGTTTCCCCCATGTTGAATATAGAGAAACCAAACAAAGTGTCAGATCCATCCAAGCCAAGAACCTTGTGAAATTGAGGCTTCCAGAGGAGCAAGGGAAAGGCTTGTGCAGAGTAGGGAGGGGGCACTTTGTACTAGGTGGATGACTTTTTGTGCCTTGGTGGGTGAGATGTAACGTATGCCTGAGGACATGATCCTGTAACTCTAATAGAATGTTGTAAACCAATGTTAACTCAATTTTATAAAATAAAATAAAATGGAAAACAATGTGCTAATGAGCTTTCCACCTGCTTCAGTTTTTCTTTGAAGAGTTTGGGATAGGTATTAAGTCTCCTCTTTAAGGATTTGGGGTTTGGGTTTGGTAGAATTAACTAGAGAAGTTCTCTGGTCCTGGGCTTTTCTTCTTAGTGAGTTTTTTGTTACTCTTTCATTTTCTACACTTGTGATTTACTATTTAAACTATTTCATTCTGGTTCACTCTTGAAAGGATATGAATCTAATGATTTGTCCATTTGCTCTAGGTTGCCCAGTTTGTTTGCATAGAGATGGCCATAGTAGGTTCTTAGGATACTTGTTATTTCTTCAGCATCTGTTTTAATTTCACTTCTTTAATTTCTGATTCTATTTATTTGGGTTTTCACTTATTTTTAGTATGCCTAGTTAAAGGCTTATCAATTTTGTTTATTTTTTCAAAGAACCAGGTCTTGAATTCACTGATCTTTTGGGTTGTCTTTTTTATTTTCTATTTCATTTATTTTTGCTCTAATTTTTATTATTTCCTTCTGTTTATTTTTGGATTCATTTTTTCATCTTTTCCAAGTTTCTTCAGCTATAGTTCAGATTGTTTGAAATTTTTTTTGTTTTCATATGGGCCTATCTTTCAACAAGGTTCCCTGGTGCTGCTTTTACTGCATTCCATAACTCATTCCCTCAATTATTTAAATTACATTCCTCATTAATTTTCTTTTTTTTTTTTTTTAAGATTTATTTATTTATACAAGCACTGGGTACAATCAGAAGTGCCGGAGGGTGAGAGAATTCACCAGAGCCAGAGCAGGGAACAGCACAGGCAGACCGATGAAATACATTGCTGAGGGGAACAGCGGGCATGGCAGGAGAGGTCTGTGCCATGTGGGACCCTCACTGGTGGCCGGGGATCAAACTGGCGCTGCAGAGGCTGCGGGCAGCTTTGCAGCCCAGCACTCAACTGTTGTGCCACCAGGGGAGGCCCCCTCATTAATTTTCAAAGCAGATACTGAATAATATCATCTTACTTTATTTACTTTTATCTTTAAGTGGAAGATTAGGTTCCAAATTCAGGTGGGATTTTTGTAAGGTGGAATTCATGCTGTAACATTTTTTATACCTTTGTTAATTTTTCCTTTTGACTACGCTGCTCTCTTGGAATATCATTGATATCTTCTTAACAGGTTGTTGTTATGCAAAACAGGTTGTAATTGTGAATATATTAGTCTTAAAAATGATTGCTTACTAATACTGCCAATAGCCCTCTCTCAGAAAAAGTCTTATACAAAACTCAGTGTAGAGCAAGCAGTTTTCTGTCTCTGTGTGTTGCTTATTAGTGATGGTATGAATATAGAAATGAGCTAGCAAGTTTTCTTGACCCTTATTAGGAAAGGCACACCTAGAAATATAAAACATATAAATACTAAACTCATTTAATGGGAAAGTAGAACATATATTTAGGGGACAGATATTTCATCCAGAACTACTCTTTTTGAGGATAATTTATTTACTTATAATTTATATTGACACAGAGGAAAATGAATTAACCTTTCTTCAAGTAACCTTTTTATTTTTACCATTTTAGCTTACCCAATCAAGGCATCATAGTTGGAATGACAAAACAGATCAAAAGTCATCTAATGTTAATAGCATTTGGCATAGGAATTATTGCCCTAGACATGAACTGGATATTATTTCAGATGCTACAAGGTCAAGAAAAAATCCAAGTACCCTGGGCATTGAACAAGTGATTAGTACTAAAGGGTTAAATCTTCCAAGAAAGTCATCAATTGTAAAAAGACCAAGAAATGGTATGTATTTCATGTTTTATAAAATACTCATCAGTATTTGTAACATTTAAACCCAAGGTCACTAATAGTTTCTCCTTTGACTTCTAAAAATTTTATTTTTGGTTTCTACGTATAGGCATATGATTCAGTTGAATTAATTTTTTTCAGTATAATGTAAGATAAGGATTAAGGGTCATTTGTGTTGTATATGATAATCCAGTTGTTAAAAAAGATCCATTACCCATTTATTACCTGGGCAATTTTTTAGTCAGTTGACCATATTATGTATCAGTCTGTTTATTCTATACCATGCATCTATTTTCCTGTCTTTATTCCTGATTAATGTAGATGTATACCATGTCTTTATATCAAGTACTATAAGTCCCTGATTCTTTTTTTTTTAAAAGTTGTTTTGGCTATTTTGTATTCTTCACATTTCCACATGAATTTTAGAATCAACTTGCAAGTTTTTGAAAACAAAAACTGTCTGCCAGGATTTTTATTTTATTTATTTTATGTTTTTTAATAATAAATTTTACTTTTATATTCCCCATACAGTTGCAACCCCCCCATTCTGACCCCAATCCCTCCCGTCCCGCCCCCCACCCCCCAAAAAGTGTCTCTGGTTCATAGTTTTTTGTTGATTTTGATTTTCACTTTCTTATAGTTATTCATTTTCCTGGTCCCTTATTTAAGTTTTCTAGATTCCTGCTATGAGTGAGACCATCTGGTATTTTTCTTTTTCTTTTTGGCTTATTTCGCTGAGCATGATCCCTTCCAGCGCCATCCATGTTGCTGCAAATTGCATGTGTTTATCTTTTTTGAATGCTGAGTAATATTCCATGGTATATATGTACCACATCTTCTTGATCCAGTCATCTGTTTTTGGGCATTTGGGCTGTTACAAGACCTTAGCTATTGTAAATAGTGCTGCTATAAACATAGGGGTGCAGGTGTTCTTTGGAATTGATGTTTCTGTGTCCTTTGGGTAAATACCTAGGAGTGGAATTGCTGGATCATATGGAAGCTCTATGTTTAGTAGGTCCAGAAATCTCCACACAGCTCTCCATAGTGGTTGGACCAGTTTGCACTCCCACCAACAATGCAGAAGAGTTCCTTTTTCTCCACACCCTCACCAACATTTGTTGTTGCTAGTTTTTTTAATATGTGCCATTCTCACTGGTGTAAGATGGTATCTCATGGTAGTTTTGATTTGCATTTCCCTGATTACAAGTGATGTTGAACATTTTTTCATATGCCTGTTGGCCATTTGCATTTCCTCTTCAGAGAAGTTTCTTTTTAGCTCTTCAGCCCATTTTTTGACTGGATTATTTTCTTTGTTGTTGAGACTCATCAGCTCTTTGCAGATTTTTGTGATCAGTCCTTTATCATTAGTGTTGTGTGCAAAAATGTTCTCCCAGTTGGTGGGGTTTCTCTTTGTTTTTGTTATTGTCTCTTTTGCTATGCAGAAGCTCTTTAATTTGATGTAGTCCCAGCTGTTTATCTTTGCCTTCACTATCACTGCTTTGGGTGATGTGTCTGTAAAGAATTCTTTGATGTGCAGATCACGTAGTGTTTCGCCTATATTTCCTTCTATGTATTTTATGGCTTCAGGTCTTATGTCTAGTTCTTTAATCCATTTTGAGTTGATTTTTGTGTATGGTGTGAGGTAGTGGTCAAGCTTCATTCTTTTGCATGTAGTGACCCAGTTTTCCCAGCACCATTTATTGAACAAACTTTCTTTGCTCCAATGCATAGTCTTTGCTCCTTTGTCAAATATTAGTTGACCATAAATCTGTGGGTTTATTTCTGGATTTTCTATTCGATTCCATTGGTCTGTATGTCTGTTCTTGTTCCAATACCATGCAGTTTTGATGATTATGGCTTTGTAGTATAGTTTGAAGTCTGGGAGTGTGATGCCTCCATTCCCTTCTTTTTTTTCAGGAGAGCTTTGGCTATTCGGGTTTTTTTGTGATTCCATATGAATTTCATCAATAATTGTTCTATTTCTTTGAAGAATGACATTGAAATTTTGATTGGAATAGCATTGAATCTGTATATTGCTTTTGTAGGATGGCCATTTTAATAATGTTTATTCTCCCAATCCATGAGCAGGGGATGTCTTTCCATTTCTTTGTGTCTTCTTCTATTTCTTTTAACAGTGTTTTATAGTTCTCTTTGTATAGGTCCTTTACCTCTTTTGTTAGATTTATTCCCAAATATTTGATTTTTTTTGTTTCGATAATAAAAGGGATGTTTTTTTTTATTTCTTCTTCAGATTTATTGTTTGTGTATAGGAAGGCTACTGACTTGTGCGTGTTGATTTTGTATACTGCCACTTTGCTGAACTGATTGATGAGTTGAATTAGTTTTTCTGTGGAGTTTTTGGGGTTCTCTATGTATATTATCATATCATCTGCAAATAGTGATAGTTTGACTTCTTCTTTTCCTATTTGGATTCCTTGTATGTCTTTCTCTGGTCTTATTGCTCTGGCGAGGACTTCCAGTATTATATTGAAAAGCAGTGGTGAAAGTGGACATCCTTGTCTTGTTCCAGATCTTAATGGAATTGCTTTCAGCTTTTCACCATTGAGAATGATACTGGCTGTTGGCTTGTCATAGATGGCCTTTATGATGTTGAGGTATGTTCCTTGTATCCCAAGAATTTCAAGGGCTTTTATCATGAATGGGTGTTGCACTTTGTCGAAAGCTTTCTCGGCATCTATTGATATTATCATATGGTTTTTATATTTCTTTTTGTTGATGTGTTGGATAACGTTGATTGATTTTCGGATGTTGAACCATCCTTGTGTCCCTGGAATGAATCCTACTTGGTTGTGGTGAATTATCTTATGGATACATTGTTGGATTCTGATAGCTAAAATTTTATTGAGGATTTTTGCATCAGTGTTCATTAGGGAGATTGGCCTATAGTTTTCCTTTTTTGTGTTGTCTTTGTTTGGTTTTGGTATTAGTGTAATGTTGGCTTCATAGAACATGTTTGGTATTGTCCCTTCATTCTCAATTTTTTGGAAGAGTTTGTGAAGGATAGGCACTAATTCGTCTCTGAATGTTTGGTAGAATTCATTTGTAAATCCATCAGGTCCTGGGCTTTTGTATTTGGGGAGGTTTTTGATTACCATTTCAATTTCGCTGCTTGTAATTGGTCTGTTTAGGTGTTCTATTTCTTCTTTATCTAGCTTTGGGTGATTGTAGAGTTGTAGGAATTTGTCCATCTCCTCTAGATTGTTGAACTTGTTTCCATATAATTGTTCATAGTAGTTACTGATTATTCTTTTGATTTCTGCTGTGTCCGTTGTGATTTCCCCTCTTTCATTTATGATCCTGTTTATTTGTGCTTTCTCCCTTTTTTCCTTTGTGAGCCTGGCTAGGGGTTTGTCTATTTTATTGATTTTTTTCAAAGAACCAGCTCTTGGTTTCATTGATCTTTTGGATTGTTTTTTTAGTTTCAATTTCATTTATTTCTGCTTTGGTTTTTATTATTTCTTTTCTTCTACTGGTTTTGGGTTTTTTTTGTGGTTCTTTTTCTAGATCTTTGAGCTTCGAGATTAGGTTGTTTCTTTGAGTTCTTTCTTGTTTCTTGATGTGAGCTTCTATTGCTATATATTTTCCTCTTATTACTGCTTTTGCTGCATCCCATACATTTAGGATATTGGTGTCCTCCTTGTCGTTCAATTCAAAGAATTTTTTAATTTCTTCTTTGATCTCCTCATTAGTCCAGTGGTCTTCCACTAGTGTGGTTTTTAATCTCCATGAGGTAGGAAAGTTCCTTCCTTCTTTTTATGGTTTATTTCCAGTTTGATGCCTTCATGGTCAGAAAAGATGATTGGTATGATTTCCATATTGGTGTATCTGTTGATATTTGTCTTGTGCCCCAGTATGTGATCGATCCTGGAGAATGATCTGTGTGCGCTTGAGAAAAATGTGTACTCCGTTTTTGGGGGGTTTAGTGTTCTATAGATGTCTGTTAAGCCCAAATGCTCTAGGTCCTTATTTAGAGCTTCAGTTTCTTTACTTATTTTTTGTCTTGTTGATCTATCCATTGTTGATAATGGTGTGTTGAAGTCTCCCACTACGTATGGTGTTTTCTCTGATGTCTGTTTTCAGAGAGGACAACAGTTGTCTGATATATTTTGGTGCTCCTTCGTTTGGTGAGTATATGTTAATGAGTGTTATTTCTTCTTGAAGTATTGTCCCCTTGATCATAATGTAGTGACCATTGGGGTCTCTTTTTATTTTTTTGTGTTTGAGGTCTGTTTTATCTGATATAAGTATAGCTGTTCCAGCTTTCTATTTTGGTCCATTTGCTTGTAGGATTGTTTTCCATCCTTTAACTTTGAGCCTATTTTTATCTTTTGTAGCTAAATGTGTTTCCTGGAGACAGCAAAAGTTTGGGTTTTGTTTCTTAATCCAGGCTGCAACTCTGTGTCTTTTTATTGAAGAGTTCAGTCCATTTACATTTAGAGTTAATATTGATATGTTAGCATCTGTATTTGCCATTGTGTTTGTCTTTCCTTTGATTTTATTTATTTATTCTTTTAATAACTTTTTTTTTTTTTTTTTTTTTTGGCCTTCTTTCGTTGTTATTCATCCCTCTGAGGTTCTGGCTTTAGGATTCCTTGTAGTATTTTTTGGAGTGGGGTTGAGTCGTAATGAAATTCCAGAGTTTCTGTTTGTCTGGGAAGGTCCTTATTCTTTCTTCATAGAGGAAGGAGAGCTTTGCGGGATAGAGTATTCTTGGTTGGCATCTGTTTTCTTGGAGTCTGTTGACTATGTCCCTCCACTCTTTCCTTGCCCGTAGTGTTTCTTCGGAGAAGTCTGATGTCAGCCTGATTGGTTTTCCTTTGAATGTTATCTGTTTCTTCCCTCTTGTCAGCTTCATTATTTTTTCCTTGTCCTGGATTCTTGGGAGCTTTACTATTATGTGTCTTGCTGTATTTTTCCTTTCGTCATGGAAGTTTGATGTTCTTCTTGCTTCTTGTATATCAATTTTCAGCTCCTTCTTCACATTTGGGAAGTTCTCTTCAATTAACTCCTGGAATATTTTCTCTGTTCCTACATCTCTCTCCTCTCCTTCTGGAATTCCTATAACTCTTATATTTCCTTTCCTCATGGAGTCAGATAGTTCCCGAAGTCTTTCTTCGTTCTTTTTCCTTCGTACTTCTCTTTCCTTTTCTGTTTTGGTTCTTTTTATTTCTGTGTCTTCAAGAGTACTTATTCGTTCTTCCATTGCATCTATTCTGCTTTCATTGCTTTTCCCAGAGTTCTTTAGTTCTTCCATTAATTCTTTGATCTCCTGCATTTCTTTTTCTTCCCTCTTTAGGGACTCAATTTCCTTCTTCTGATCATTGTTTTCCTTTATGAGTTCTGTCATTTTTTTAATCACGGCAATTTTAAATTCTCTTTCTGGAAGGCTCAGAAGTTCTTCCAAGTTACTGTCGTTGCAATCTGGGGCGTGGTTTTCTTTTTGTGGTGTGCTTTTTTCCTGAGGCGTTGTTAGGTTGCGTGTGGTTCTTCTACTCCCTACTGTCTGTTTTCTAATTTGTCGTATGCATTGGGACATTGTGTTGCTCGGACTGGCCGGCATCTTGGGTGAACTTCTCCGCTCCCCTCTGGCTCCTCCAGGAGCCATCTCTGGCTTCTGAGGGAGCTTTCTGCTGGTTTCAGGAAGTCTTTACTGAAGAAATGTCCCTGTTCTAAAATGGCAACGCGTTACTCAGTCCCTGAGCATCCGGTCTCAGGCACACTCTTCTGCGCGCCCGGTCTGCCCCAGCCGTGGGTACCTGTTCCCTCTGTGGGCTCAGACTGGTGGTCGGAAGGGGCCTGGCGTGGGCTAACTTCCCAGCTGGCCACTGTCTCCTCCAGGAGCCTTCTGCCCTTTTCAAGCAGTCTTAAGAAATTTCTTAAGAAATCTTAATTTTCTTAAGAAATCTTAAATTTCTTAAAATCTTAAATTTAAGAAATCTTAAATTTCTTAAGAAGTCTTAAGAAATCTCCCTACTGTCTGTTTTCTAATTTGTCGTATGTATTGGGACACTGTGTTGCTGGGACTGGCCGGCATCTTGGGTGAGCTTCTCTGCTCCCCTCTGGCTCCTCCAGGAGCCATCTGTCAGTTTCAAGCAGTCTTTACTGAAGAAAGGTCCCTGTTCTAAAATGCCGATGTGGGGACACACACCCCTGTGTGCTTGGTCTGCCCCGGCAGTGGGTTCCCGCTCCCCCTCTGGGTTTGGACTGCAGGCCAGAAGTGGCCTGGCGTGGGCGAGCTTCCCCGCTTACCTCTGGCTCCTGAGGGAGCCTTCTGCATGCAGTCTTTCCTGAAGAAATATCCCTGTTCTAAAATGGCAATGTGGGATGCACTCCCTGTGCGTCCGGTCTCAGGCACACTCTTCTACGTGCCCGGTCTGCCCCGGCTGTGGGTGCCCGCTCCCTCTGTGGGCTCAGACTGCTGGTCTGAAAGGGCCTGGGGTAGGCTAACTTCCCAGCTGGCCACGGGTTCCTCCAGGAGCCTTCTGCAGGTTTCAAGAAAGGTCCCTGTTCTATGGGGTGTTAGTGACTTTTTTTCTGGTCACTAGGTGGCGGCAGAGATCTCTCCTAGTCCGTGGGGGGCTGTTTTTCTTCACCCCGTGGGACAGGGAACAGAATGGGAATGGTTGGGAAAACCTCAACGGCTTTGGGGTGCTGTGTCTGCCTTGTGCCCCACCGATGTGGAGGACCCACGCTCCGAAGCCTCAGGTCCAGGACGCGGGCTGTAGCCCAGTTCAGTGGCTGCAGCAATGGCGCCTTTTGCACCCCGCTTCCGTGTCTGGGCGCCTGGTTTCTGATTACTCAGTGAGGGATTTTCACCTCAGTGAGGGCCCCCGCGTGTCTCCCCGCAAGCCTAGGTCGCAGGTGCGGGGACCTGGGCAGCAGCGATCCCGATCCGCGTTTGCTTTTCAAGCGCACCGCTTTTCAGCGCAAGCTTACGGGCCGGCCCTGGGCTGTGTGCAGGTCTCCTCCGGGGGTCTCTGCTATTCTCTAATGGCGCCCGGAGCCGTTTGCTCACCGCAGTGGTGAATCCTGCAGGGTTCTCCACACCTCCAGTTCATGGGGTGTGGTGGCTGCAATAGTTCCTTTCCACTCACAGTCCTGCCTGATGCTTAGTTTGTTCTTGTTGGTCGTTTTGGTTTGTTTTTTTCCTCCTCTCTGCTGGTCGGAGAGTGCCAACTCTGTGGGTTGGGGAGGAGAGCAGGGTTCTGCGCTTTCCTCCCTTCTAGTCCTCTTTTATGGCAACTTTCTTCTTCGGGTAGTTTGCTGGAGTCGTCCATTTATCTTCCGTGTCCCAGTTCTCACTGGGGACCTGCCGCTTTTCCTCCCTATTAACTTTTTTTAATGGGAGATCTTAACTCGCAGCATCTACTCGCCGCCATGTTGCTCCGCCCTCTGCTAGGATTTTTAATCGGTAGATCAGTTTGGGGAGAATTGACATCTTCACGATACTGAGTTTTCTGATTTTTTTTTTTAAGACTTCATCAACACTTTGAATTTTTCAATGTACCATTTATTGTCTTACACATCTGTTGTCGAATTTCTTTCTTTCAGGTTTTTGATGTTGAAAATATTTATTATTTTGATTCCTAGTTACTCACAGTCTATAGAAAAAAGCATGATATGATTTTTATATATTTAATTTCTGTATTCTGCAGCCTTGCCTAATTTACATATTAGTTTCAACCTTTTCATGGACTCTGCGGAAGCTTCTTTTTATGTCACCCTCAACTAAAAATTGTCTTGCTTCTCCTTCCCTAGTCTGGATGCCTTTTATTTCTTACTCTTGCCTGCTGGAACCTCCAGTACAATATTTAACAGAGGTGCAGAGAGTGGAATTCTAGGTATTGGAAAAAGGTTTTTTCCCAAAGAACATGTTTAAAATCATAAAGAGTATTTGTAATCTATTCCTTCTCTCTTGATTCCTTCAGACATCTATGAAAGACTAGTAATAAAAACAAATGAAAACCTTTTCCAAATTTTAGTTGTTTTAATTTGCTGTAGATTATCCCTGAAAGAAGTATCCATTATTGAGGTGATCTTTGATTTTAGTCTATTATTCTATTAGTTTTTTCTTTCATTTTTGGAATCCTCATGTTCCAATATTTTGGTATTATCCATGTTACCTAGAAATTTGAGAAGTATGGCTTTGTGTATAAGTTTTGGTTAAAATGTATTTTCTTATGTAATGTTAAGCTGAATCAGAGCAAGCATTAGACTAGAGACAGAAAGGCCTTTCAACTTAACAATCATCAGTAGTTTTTTTAAGACTATTCAACTTGTTGCAAATCCACGTATAGATTTTGCTCCACATTGTCTCCTGGGCTAAAATGAGAAATGCAGAAGAGTCTTGCTTATTAAAGATAAGCTAAATTTATGGAATTTCCCCAAATAACTATGCTAACAACCTTACAATGAAAAGAAAATGAGGTTTGTCTGGTGTTTCTTCTTGATGAAGCCTTCCTGAATCCGATATTTACTTTTTTTCTTTGTCAGGATGCACAATTCCCTGTACAATAAACATGTTTAGGCTTTTGTCAGGATCGGAATCACTTTTGCTGTTCTTTTCTCTAATATTTGGTACCCGCCCCCACAACCATTTTATCAACCTCTTAGCATAGTGACTATTTAGTCCTGCTGGAGTAGAACCTACTCAGACCAGGGATTAGTTGAACCCTACTGCTATCTGTGTATTTTTGCCTGTGTCATGCTTTAGCCTTTCTGCTTAACCTTACGATTTATTCTAATACTATAAAGAATATTTGCTGCCCAACAATTTCTAGGGCTTTATAGATAGATAATGAGGATCAGAAGTAGAACACAGTGACGTGTGGCTACAGAGATCACATACTTCAAACAACATCACATAGATGTTCTCTATAAATAGCTGCTGGTTTTATTAGAACTTTCTAAAAACCGGTGAGTTAACCACTGTTTAAACACTGCCTTATATTTGTTTTTCACATTTAAAATTGGGTCCTTAGTATAATGAGTATAAAACCTTACAGAATTGTTTGTATCCTGGAATTTTGATGTTGGTAATTTTACATAAAATCATAAAAAATATTGGCATTACGCCTCAACTAATTTATGAAATTATAAATAGACTTAAGGGAATTTTTTTGTTTCCTTTTGTCATACACAGTTTAAAAAATTAATAAGACTTCATTCCTAGGACAATGGAACATGGGCTATGATGTTAAGCTAAATCTCTAATTGCACTTGAAACAATGATTTATAGAATTGATTTTGTTTTTATTTAGAAGAACTTTCAGAAGATGATCTGCTGAGTCAGTATTCTCCTTCATTTACTAAGAAGGCCAAAAAAAATAGTAGTGAAGGTAATAAATCATTGAACTCTTCTGAAGTGTTCATGCCTGACCTGATAAATGGAACTACTAATAAAAAAAACATAAGCACACCATCTACGACAAGAAATAAATTTGCAACATTTTTACAGAGAAAAAATGAAGCAAGTGGTACAGTTGTGGTTCCAGGGACCAGAAGCAGGTACAGTTTGCCTTTTGTACTCTGTTGATATTTATTTTAATTATCATGAATAAACATTGAATCTAATGGAGATACCATAATCTAGTTGCTGTTTTTATCATGTGTTGCCTTAGTTGTGACTTAATGCCCTGCAGTTTTCTTGAACTTACATTACTTTCATAATTTCCATACAGAGCCAAAATGCAAGAATTGTAGATACTATTACATTTGACATTAGAAAAATTCTCTAATTTTGGGGAGCCTCCTCTTTTGTTTTTACTCGGTCTCTTTTAAGAGCTAAGTATAATTTTCAAAGTATTTTTGGAAATAGATATATATATAGATGGTTGTAGTGTTCTAATACCCTAGCAACATACTAGCTTTTTGGGATACAAAAATGTGAAAAACATCTGGTCTTAAGAAGATGGTAAAGAGAAAAGTAGGTTCCTAAGCAAATTTCCTTCATATACTGCGGTGAGTATAGTGATAAAAGCATCCATGAGGTGTTTTGAGGGCTCTAAAGGGGGATCTAATGCTGAATCAGTGGTTGGAAAGGTGAGAGGGAAGGAAGAAGTGTTAGGTGCCATTACTGGGTTTAAATAACCGGTGGGGTCCAACAGACCAAGCAGAGACATGGAGATGGTGGCATCATGAGGCATGGGGGCAATTGTTTGCTGTTGATTGCTGCTGCTGTTATTACCACTCTCAGAATGTAGGTCAGGAAAAGAATGATAGCCTTCCTTGTAAGCTAAGGAACTGTTTGTCTTTAGAGATGAAGATTAGGGATGAAAATAGGGTTTTTAATCACAGGGCATGATGTGGGCATGATGAGGGCATGATGTGTGTTTGTTTTTTTATCCTGGTTTGTTTTTTATTCATTTCTTTTCCTATTTTAAAAATCCTAGGTCATGCCAGACACAGCTATTTTCAGATTGCATATGGAAGTCAAACAGTCTAGTATTTTCTAGTAAGGAGACACATTGGACATAATACTATTCTAACATTCAGTTAGATGTTAAATGAATGTGTTAAGTGAAGATGGTTTTCAGAAACCATCTTCATTCTCAAATGTTATAAATGTACATTTGTAGAATGTGCAGATTATTTTGCATATTATCATACATACTAGTTTTTTTTTAAAAAGAAAGTAAATATAGAAAACGGAATTAAAATGGCTATAAAATATAGATGGGAGTTTTATTAGGAGTGTTTTAGTCTGAATTTATATGCTTTTACTGCACTTGATTAGGTTTATTCAATTGAATTCTTAATTGCTTTCCGGTATTATGGTATTAGGAGGAGACTCTTGTTTGTCTCGCTACCGTTTTGTTTGGTTTTATTTCTAAGAAATGAAAAATTCTATCATTCTTATTGCTTGTAAAAAGATGTAACTTTCACCCATCAGAGCCAAAAGATGTATTAATTGTCTTAATTACCTAGTTTAGATAGACCACTCTGAGTACACTGAGAAGTATGAATTGTAGACCACAAAAGAAGAATGGAAAGATGGGCCTTCCCTGGTGGCGCAGCGGTTGAGCGCTGGGTTGCGAAGCTGCCCGCAGCCTCTGCAGTGCTGGTTCTATCCCCAGCCGCCAGGCGAGGGTCCCACATGGCGCGCAGTCCTCTCCTGCTGCCTGGCTGCTCCCCTCAGCAGTATGCTTCGTCCATCTGCCTGCTCTGCTCCCTGCTCTGGCTCTGGTGAATTCTCTCACCCTCCTGCACTTCTGACTGTACCCAGTGCTTGTATAAATAAATAAATAAATCTCAAACAAACAAACAAATAAATAAATAAATAATGAAGATGGAAATATGGGGTTAGGCTGTTAGCATTATCCCTGTGAGCAGTGATGAGAATTTGAAGAGGCAGTATAACTGGTTAGGAATTTGGAGCCTGGGGTTGGTCAGACTACTTGGGTTTGAATCTTATAGTCTTCATTAATGAGATGTTTGACCTGAGCAACCTCAAGATGTTGAGTAAATTAAATTGCTCTATAAGTGAAGTTCCTAAAACAGCATCTGTTCGGTGGTAAACATACATGTAATAATAGCTCTTATTTTAAGTGATAGAATTTATTTTGCCATAATATAGTAAATCTAAAGAAGAGAACCTTTATCAGCCCCTATATTTCTCTGGCAGACTTAACGATACATATTTTCTGTTTTTCAAGTTTTTTAAACCAGACTGTAACCAGTTTTGTCTACTCATGATGGTGGGAAATGGGCATGAAGGGGTGAACAACATCAGTAATCCCATAATCTCACATTAGGAGATGTTTCAGACCCTGTTCCATCATTTTGATTCTTCCTCATTAATAGTGCTTGTTAACAGTGGAATGATAAAAAAGTAGGTCACACAAAATGGAAAGCAACATCCTACATGATCTATGTGATTAATACATTTTTAGAAAATTGACTTCTCACATTTGGAGAAATATTTGGAACTGTGTTTCATTTTTTCCATTTGGGTGAAAGTAGAATTTCCATTTTCTACTTCTTAATGTTTTATTCTTCTTTGGAGGACTTTAAATAAATAATATTTTTTGTCTTTATAGGACTTGCACAACCTTAATGATATCCTGTGGAAGCTTAAATCTTCATTCACATATCTATAATGCTTTTTATAGTTAGATGTTTTAATAAGTTGTAGGATTGTCTTTTTCTTTTATTTATTTATTTTCTAGATTTATTTATTTATTTATACAAGCACTGTGTACAGTCAGAGCACTGCAGGGTGAGAGAATTCACCAGAGCCAGAGCAGGGAGCAGAATAGGCAGACTGATGAAATACACTGCTGAGGGGAGCAGCGGGCATGGCAGGAGAGGTCTGCACACCATGTGGGCCCCTCACTGGTGGCCGGGGATTGAACTGGCGCTGCAGAGGCAGTGGGCAGCTTCGCAGCCCAGTGCTCAACCACTGCGCCACCGGGGAGGTCCAGGATTTTCTTTTTAGACATAAAAACTATCCTTGAATAATTCCCTATAATGACACTGATCTTTCATTTGTATTGGAGTGTTCTTAAGTATTTTTTAAAAGGTGCTACACTAAATACCTCTTCAGTGAATCAGGATATAATAATTGATTTGAAAATATTTACCTCAATTTTTTAAATAATGTAATGTTCATAGGGTACATAAAAAGCTAGTGGATTAGTATAATACTACAATATACCAGATGATTTGCTACTAGCATTTCTGCTAAAAATGAAAGGCAAATGGTTTATTTCTTTCATCTTGCTTTTACAAAATAAGAGGAAGTAGTTGTGCATTGTCCTTTCTTTTGCATATGTCAACATCTGTTAAATATTTGACAATCAGCCATGTGTAAGCCACTGTTTCAGGTATTGTAGAGGTTACAAAGGAATGGATATTACCTGTCCTCAAGAATTATATTGTCTCTTTGGGGTCAGAAAGGTGGAGGTGGAAGGGATTTTGCTAGCCGAAATTAGTCAGAAGGAAATAAATTCTGGATGGTCTCACTTATATGTGAAATACCGAGAAACCAAACAAACTCAAGAAAAAGTCAGAACTAACAAGCTGACCATAGATCTGAGGCATACAATAAAAGACGGGGCAGGAGGGAGCAAAACAGGGAAGGGATAAACACAAGGGAATATGGTGATAGTTCATGGGTGATAAGGTGGTGGGAGAGCTATAGGGACTACAATGATGTAAGAAAAGACAAAAAATTAATAAAAAATAAGATAATGATGACAAATACTCCAGCTCTGCATACATTTATATATAGATGAGTGTGTTTAGAAAGTCTCATCTAAAAATTCACTGTATGAAATAAATTTTTAAATATGTGTATTTGGCACAATCAATTTTTAAACTATTAGTAAAATTTAGATATATTTTGCCTTTATGAAATAATGAATTCACAAGACTTGAATTTCCATTTGGAAATTTGTCACCTTTGTGAGAAAACACTTAAAAAAGCTTAGCATTCTTTCTAATGTTTTTTTTCTGTTTTTTTTTTAGGTTTTTTTGCAGTTCTCCAGACTCTGCAGACTGTGCATCAAAGGAAACAAGTAGTCAGCCTCTAAATGAAACTGCTGTCACAGATAAAGTGACCAATCTGAATGAATCAGGTTGCTTAAATGATAAGCTAATTGATACAAATGTAGCACATAATTTAACTGATCAGATTCCAGATGATATAAGTGGGGTTACTAATGAAGAGTCTCAGTCTTTGAAGACCAGCAGATTCACAAGGACCATTTCACCACCCACTTTGGGGACACTAAGAAGTTGTTTTAGTTGGTCTGGGAATCTTGGAGATATTTCAAGAACTTCAAACTCCTCTCCAAGCACAACCCTGCAGCATTTCCGTAGAAAGAGTGATTCCCCCACCTTGCTGCCTGAGCATAAGATGTCTGATGTATCCCAGTCAAAGAGTGATGAGTCATCTGATGAATTTTATCACTTACATGAAGTGGATTGTTCTTTACAATCTCAAGAAAGCCTAAATACATCAAATCTTTCCCAGTGTTCTAATAAAGATTCAGATTCAGAGGTAAGTCACATTATGAAGTCTTTGTTTTCAAATTCATATGTAAGAGAAAATAGGGTGCTATTCAGACAAGGAAATTTTGCCTACATTCTAAGTAATTTGCTATTCAAATTTTTATTATAGATCATATTTTGTTGGAATTTCCTTTTTTATTCCGCTGAGGGACTTTATATCTATCATATCTAAACCCTTGTACATTTAATTGACTCATAATTATCACAGAATGATAGGCTATGAATGAAAACTTGTTATAAATTTATTTAATCATACATTTTTTTAAGATTTATTTATTTATGCATATAAGAACAGGGGTGTAAGCCAGAGGTGGGGGTGGGTGAGAGGATTCACCAGAGAGTGGGGAGCAGAACAGATAAATCTACTGAAATATACTGCTGAGGAGAGCAGCAGGCGAGACAGGAGAGGTCTGCTGCGCCACAAGGGTTAGCTCCCTGACTGACCAGAGATTGAACTCATCTGTAGTGGCTGGCAGTAGCTTGATAGAGCTGTCTTTAACCCCTGCACCACCAGGAACACCCTAATCATACTCTTGATAAGCTTCCCCTTTGTAATGAAACAAAACTAATACAAGTAATTTTACATTTTTACTTTTTATAAAAAGACCTTAACCATTTTTCTTATTTAGAAAATTTTTATACTGATTTAAATAAAATCAAAACTACGTACTAGTCATAAGACCCAATGATACTACATTTTAAAAAGACATGACACCATCATAGTTTTCTTTAAATCTGAATTATCTTAAATTTAGCAGTATTGCATACTTCATTTTATCTTTATCAACTGTAATTACCAAGTTGTAAGGACTATTATGGCTGTGGTAATACTTAATAGGATTTTGATACCTGATAATACTGAATATCAAGCAGCATGATAATAAATCAGTATGAATTGTACTTATCGAAAGGAACATATTTTCACAAAAGAAACCCAAGTTGTATTGGCCTTATTGAAGGAAAATATCATGTGAGAATGTGGGAACATTGTTTTTGCTTGGAGAAAACAGATCAATTTTTTGAATCCCAAATCTGTCTCATGTAGTAAGTTTTATTAAATTTTTGTAAGTGTATCAACCCAAATCCTTGGCTGCCTTTGAGGCTTTTGCTTTCCCCCCCCCCCCACTCACTTTGCCTTTAGTTCATGCATACTAGTCTAGAAGACTGTTCCTTTTAATAGATTCCTCCATTTTTATATCATCTTTTTCATTTTTTCACTTCATACTGCATCATCACATCTTGGTACCACACCAGATGCTTTCTTTTGAACCTCTTTATTTCAAAAAATACCGCCAGCAGACATCTTCCTGTTTCATTTACTTTGTAAGTTTTTAACCACGTGTTGAAAACCTTACCAAGTTCACAGCCTATGGACTGAGCAAGTTGACAGAACTCTCCACACACTGTCTTCTGGGCTAATCATTAATTATTGTACTAATTATTTTGTATTAGCTCCACGAAACAAACACGCAAACTTCACTGAACTAGGAATCATTAAGTCATCTCTTTCTGTCAGATGTGAAAATGTCTACTGGGATAAATCAATTATTCTCAAAGAGTTGGCACACTGGCAGTTAACCTAAAAACTAAGTAATCTTTCTTTGATGTAGAAAATGTTTCAGAAAGTCATCATACCATTGGAGCTTCATTTAGAGTATCAGTTTTTATTGTATAGTTTTAAAGAAGATATTTCTCTATACAAGACTTCCATTGATAGTTCATCAAAAAGCAACAACCATAGATTCTATATACATTGAATTCATTGACCATGTTTGAGGTAAATTAATCTTAGGCTCTCAATCATGATCATTATTTTAAGAAACCATTTCGCCCAGCATCACCACTACTGTTAGCTGTGAGCGAGTATTAAAGTACTCTAAATTAATGGAGTATTTTTCACTATGGGATTGTTTTTAAGACATATAATGCTGTGTACAATTATTTTAAAAGAAACCCTCTTAAAAAATACAGAAATGTAAAGTCTTCTGAATTTCTATTCATAGTCTTTTTATTTTATTGCTTGATTTCATGGGTTATTCTGTATAGATTATTCTGTATACAGGTTATTCTGTATAGGAAAGCCCTCCATGAGGCAGACAGTAGGTCTTAAGTCATTGTTAAAGGTAAATGTGCATTGGTGCAATATTATTCTGCTTCAAAGTGTTCGGTGCCTTTTATCTCTTTAATGCTGAATGTGTCATACAATTAAAAAGAGCTATAGAATTACTGGTTTAGCCTTTCAGTAGCTAATAATTTATGAAAACTATTAGCTGAATGTGAAAGAAGCCTCAGTATTACAGGAAGAGACTCTTGTGTTATCTGAAATAACATTTGACAGACTTCTGAAATAATTTAGAAAAGCCTTCAATTTTATTTTATTTATTTTATTGATTTATTTATACAAGAACTGGGTACAGTCAGGAGCGCAGGAGGGTGAGAGAATTTACCAGAGCCAGAGCGGGGAGCAGAACAGGCAGATTGACGAAGTACACTGTTGAGGGGAGCAGTAGGCACAACAGGAGAGTTCTGCACACCATGTGGGACCCTCGCCCGTGGCCGGGGATCGAACTGGCTCTGCAGAGACTGCGGGCAGCTTTGCAGCCCAGTGCTCAACCGCTGCACCACTGGGGAGGCCCAGCCTTCAATTTTAAATGTATACTTTGTTTTATACAATTTACTTCTCTAGCTAAAACATCTTGTTGGGTTCTTCAGTTAAAAAAACTTAAAGTAAAACTGATAGCATTTTTTTCTTTCTACATTTGATTCATTTTCTTTGATTGTATCCAGTGCTTTTTCTTTGATCTGTTTTTATTTTGTTTTATTGAATATTAATTTGTTATAAAAATTAATTTTATTTTATTTTTTGATCTGGGGGATCTAGGAGTCTGATTGCAATTTTAAATCACTTAGTGATCAAGATAATCAGAAATCCAAGCTACATTCATCTCATTTTTCAAAAAAGGACATACTTCTAAGGAAGAAGGTAAAATATTCAATTATTTTTAAACTTCAGAAGCAGTGCATGCTTATTACCAGAAAAAAAAAACTATAATTAAAAATCGAAATGCCTGTATTCTTATTTTAACGTCTACTTTCAAATCTTCTAGGACCATGTTCTTAAGTGTAGATGTTTAAATTAGGAAAACTCCTGCATTATGAAAATCTTTATCTGTGTTCTTACATAGCTAAATATATAATAGCTATGTAATATGACACTATATGAATTAGCTAGTCCTTTCGTGTTTGTCATTTATCCTAAAATTTTTTTACTATAGCAAACAGTACTGCAGTAGAGATCTTGGAGGTAAATATTTGAGTACATTCTTTATTATTCTGTAAGGATAAATTCAGTGGATTGATAATTCTAGCCCAAAGGAATGTGTGATGTAAAACCTTGAATATATATTGCCAAAATGTCTTCTAGAAATTGATAAGCTAGTTTTTTAAAAAATATATAACTATATATATTTAAAATATATATATAACTATATGACTATAAAAGAAAGAACAAGTGGTTGATTAACATATAAAAAGCATACCTAATCTTATTCATAATAAATTTTCAAATTTTAATAATTACATGTAATTTCTTACCTCAGATTTTTCAGAACTTTTTTTTTTAAAGATATATTTATTTATTTATACAAGCGCTGGGTACAGTCAGAAGCGCCGGAGGGTGAGAGAATTCACCAGAGCCAGAGCGGAGAGTAGAACAGGCAGAGTGACGAAGCACACTGCTGAGGGGAGGAGCGGGCGGCAGGAGAGGTCTGCGCGCCATGTGGGACCCTCGCCTGGTGACCTGGGATTGAACTGGCGCAGCTGAGGCTGCAGGCAGCTTCGCAACCCAGCGCTCAACCGCAGCACCACCGGGGAGGCGCCGAGAACTATTTTTAATGAATATAGTGAAATGAATAATCACATATTTAAAAGAGTATATATTGGTCTGCCATTTCTGGAAAGCATTTTGAAAGAGTTCAAGTAATTTAACCTAGTTAAGTGCATTCTAGAACTTAAGCCTAAGGAAATAATGAGAACTACAAGAACACTTATTCCTGCTCTGGTTACAATAGCAAAATTAGAACAGTTGGAAATTATTAAAAAATCAGGGAATGAAGGGCCTGCCTGGTGACACAGGGATTAAAGTCTCAGCGCTATCAAGCTATTACCAGCTATTGCAGCAAGAATTCGATCTCTGGCCAGGAAGTTAACCCACATGGCTCAGCAGACTCTCCTGTCTCACTTGCTGCCCGCCTCAGCATTGAATTTCAGTGAATCCCCCTGTTCTGTTCTCCACTCTGTCTCTGGTGGTGAGTCCCCTCACCCCCTGCACCTCTGGCCCTAGCTCTTGTATGCATAAATAAATAAATAAATCTTAAAAAAAATAAGGGAATCAACTATCAAATAAATTACTGACTTTAACTCTTAAGTGGTTGGGATTTAGGTGAATTTTTCCTGTCATTTTTATCTTTCATGCTTTTCTTTAGTGAACCTGTACTATTTTTCTAATAGCATATGGAAGTTTTAAAATTTTTCAGTAAATTGTCTATATTTATTTGAAAGATGATCCCCAGCTCATATTGTATAAATATAAATCCCAAATATATTAGAGATATAAATTTAAGATATGTAAATATAAGACCATCTTTAAAATCTTTGAAAAGGAAAAGTTATGTTATTAAATAATAGGTGTAGCATGGTATGTTTTCCTTCAGTGACAGAGTTACAGACGTAGAAGGAACTTTCCCAAAAGAATTTTTTTTTAACATTTTGAAGATTTATTTTATTTATGCATACAAGAACTGGGGTACAGGCCAGAGGTATTGGGGGTGAGAGGATTCACCAGAGACAGAGTGGGGGACAGAACAGGCAGATTGACTGAAACACACTGCTGAGGGGAGCAGCGAGTGAGTCAGGAGAGGTCTGCTGCGCCATGTGGGTTTCTCCCTGGCCTGGGATTGAACTTGTACTGCACTGGCTGTGGATAGCTTCATAGGTTGTGTCTTAATCCCTGCACACTAGGGAGGCCCCCAAAAGATGTTTTGTCTAGAGACTTAATTATCATCTTTTTACTCTTATTCTTGATCTCAGAAATTTACATTGTCAAAATTTTAACTGTTTTGGTGAAAACTCTAATACTCCACTCCCTTCATCTCCAATATCCATCTTAATATCTAAAAATCACACTTGTGTTTTTCTTACCTCTAACTAGTTCTTAGAGCATTTTTATTGTTTTGTTATATGAAACTATATTATTTTATTGGTCGTTTACTTTCAAAATCTTAAGATTGATCTTTATAACCACCACCTCCATTATCTTGCACGTGGTAAAGATAATAAACCAAACAGCTGTACCTGTCCAAATTCTAATGTTTCTTTCTGCCTTGTTTCTTGCTTTCTCCCCTTTTTTCCATAACTAACATTCTAATTCAAGAGTTTATCTTTTATATTTAACCTTTCCATTCTTTGTATACACTCTTCCAGATTCAATTTTAAACCCTTGTTTTATATATCTCACTCTTACTGTCCTAAAATACAGTAACAAAACTTTAATGACTTCATATTTCCCATAGGAGAAAAATCAGTCTTTCAATGGAAACAACCTATATGTTAGTAAAGACCCCTGAAGTTAATCACGGCACATTTATAAAATGAAAGAAAAGGCAGCCTATACAAAACAAAATTCCATCCTATATGTGAAATGGAAAAATCTCCAAAATACATTGTTAAGTAGAAAATACATTGTTAGATGAGAAAAAATACAAAGGCAATGAGGGAGCAAGAGACTGACTTTTTCCTATTCTGTTATAACTTTTTCTTTTTAATATGGATGTGAAAGTACATACAGCATATGGTTAAAGAAAAAAGTAGTCCTATTATAAATGTTTTCATACACTCAAAAATTTAATGTGGGTATTTAAATTTGGAGGGTGGGGGATAGATTTCTTACCTGCCTTTGACTTACTTGTATTTGCTCCTGACTGCACGTGCTGTATTTTGGCATGTCTGCGTGGTTTGGACCTTTGCCTGCTCCTTTGGTTTCAAAATCTCCCACTACTCCAGTGGAGACTATTTACTCTTTGACTTTATTCCCTGACCACTATCCCTTTATCCCTGTATCTGTTCCCCTCTCCTAACCTTATGGTGTTTATTGATGTCCACTAGTTTCTGTAAGTATATTCCTTTATTGAATCATCTGTTATGTAAATGTTCAATATTTGTCTTTATCATTCTTCTATACTTTACTACACATTCTTTCAAATACCCTCCACTTATTGACAATGGTCACATTTTATCTTTCTTTATGCCTTAATGTGGATACATATTGTGGATATACCACATATTCTTCATCCTGTTATTCATTGATGGAATTTAGGTTGCTCCTATGCCCCGGCTATTGTAAATAATCCTGCTGTGAAATTGTGGATTATGTGGGATTATTTTTGTTGATGGTATGTGGTTATGTGCCCAACAGAGCAGTTGCCAGGTGATAGGGTATTTCCATGTTTAATTTTTTGACATAAACCCAAATTGCTTTCCATAATGGTTTCACTAGTTCACATTTCCACCAATAGCATAATAGGGCTCCCTTTTCTCTGTATCCTCAGCAGAATTATTTGTCTCAAGGCAATTTTTTATTTCTGCTTTAATTTCTTTTATCCAGTTGCTATTAGTAGCATGTTTAGTTTCCATGTATTAATAGCTTTTCCTGTTGCTATTTTTTATAATTGATTTCTAACTTTATTATGGCATTATGATCAGAGACAGTACTTGATAATCATTTTAATCTTTATAGTTTTTTTTTTAAAGGTGTGATATGAAGTACAGCTATTTTTTTAAAATTAATTAATTTATTTATACAAGCACTGGGTACAGTCAGAAGCGTGGGAGGTTGAGAGAATTCACCAGAGCCAGAATGGGGAGCAGAACAGGCAGACTGACGAAGAAATACACTGCTGAGGGGAGCAGCGGGCGGCAGGAGAGGTCTGCGTGCCATGTGGGACCCTTGCCCTGAGGCCTGGGATTGAACCGGCACTGCAGAGGCTGCAGGCAACTTCGTAGCCCAGTGCTCAACCGCTGCGCCACCAGGGGAGGCCCTCTTTATAGCATTTTTGACATTTGATTTGTGTCCCATCATGTGATCTATTCTTGAAAATATTCCAAGTGCACTTGAAAAAAAAGTGTTTGCAGCAGTTTTTGGGTGGAGTGTTAAGTATCTGTTAAGCCTGTTTGATCAAACTCTTCATTTAAAGATACTGTTTCCTTATTTATTCTTTGTCTTTTTTGATCTGTCCATTTTGTACATGGTAAATTTGCCTTAGTAGGGTTATTGTGTTGTCAATATCTCCGTTTGGTTATGTTACTACTTGTCTTCCGTATCTTGGTGCTCCATTCTAATGCTCCATATATATGAATGTGTTATTTATTCTTATATTAAGCCCTTAATTATAATATATAGTGTCCTCTTTTATTGTCTCTGTTAACTAGAGATCTACTTTATCTGATGTTAAGTTTAGTTGTTACTGATTTTTTTTGGTTGCCATTTTCTTGTAGGATTATCTTCCAGTCTTTAAATCTGTGCTTTTCTTTGTTGGTATTATGGGTTTCTTGTAAACAAGAGTTGGACTTCATTTTGAAATCTATTCAACTGGTCTACACCTTTTTACTGGTGAATTCAAGCTGTTAACATTTAAAGTGATTATTGAGAAATAGTACCTATTTGTGATTTTTGGTGGTTTTTTTGTTTTGTTTTTTGAGGTCTTCCTTTTATGTTTTGTTTAGTTTCCCTTTCAGCTGTCTCGTGTTATTTCCTTTGTTTGAGGGTTTCTGATGAGGTTTGGATATAATGGAATGTTTGTGGATTTAGCCCTGAAGTAGTAGATGGGAGGTGTTTTGAATAATCCAGTCTAGACTTCAAATAGTAGCCTCCTCTGTGAGGTGATCCAGCATTTTTTTTTTTTTTTAAGCCAGTCAGATTCAAGTCAGTAATCCTCACACTGCACCCCTGCGCTCCTATAGCTCTCCAAAAGTGCACCCTTAGTTTTGAGCACTAACTCCACATACCCCTTATTCAGTGCAGTGCCAGATCTCGAGTCCCCGATGTTACATGCCCCTGAGTCAGCAGCTCTAGGGGGTTCCCATAGCCACTGCTCTTGTGGTTGTACTGCCCCGGCATTTACTATAAATACCATTCCCTTACAATTTTTCCTACTCCTTTCTTCTGGACCTTAGTTCCAAGTATATACTGTGGTCATATGTTTTTCCTTCAAGAATTGACTTTGTTCTGCTGCAGTTTAGTTGTGAGTATATGGAGGAGACAAGCTTCTGTGGTTTCACTCTGCTACCAACTAACAGGACTCCCATAACTTAAATTTAGGGCAAGGTTCATGTATAGCCTGTTAAAATTATTATGACAATTTTTGTAGTAGACATTTATAAATGACATTTTTTACATCACTTATAGCTTATTTTTCTATCCAATGGCTAAAGAATAATTTTAAATTAACTAAATATGGTTGTTATAATAGTATTTAAATGGGCATTTAATCCTCAGATTCCTGGGCTGTATAAATCAAGTTCTCTGGACAGTCTTTCTACAACCAAGATAAAACCTCTAGTACCTGCCAGAGTCAGTGGACTGAGTAAGAAGCCCGCCAACATCCAGAAGAGAAATCATGATATTGAGAACACGCCAGGATTGCAGATAAAAATCAATGAGCTCTGGAAAAATTTTGGATTCAAAAAGTGAGTTTTCTTGTTACTTATTCTGAAATACAATAATTTATTTTTCTCTGTAGATTTAATCCTGTCTTTCTATTTCATATGAATCCATTTCTCTTCAGTTTTATACCTTCTTTTAGTAAGAGGATGGCAAACTGAAAATTCTCAATTCTTAATCTGACTTTGGAGTCTCTTTATTGTCAAGCAAATTTCTTTTCTAGGCTTTCTTATCTCTCAGGAAAATAGTGAAAATAAAGTTGTTTTAGGCATTGGGGTAAGAAGCACACTTCTGAATTTAAAGCAATTTGCTTCTCTATCACATCTAAAAGGGGGAGAATTTCTATAATGAATTTACCAGATTTCTTATATATAGCAAGTGCTGTTTTGAAATAATTGACCTTCTATATATCTGCATTATTTTTTGAATCACAATATTTCCTTCAGGTAGACTATAAATTAGCCACAGAGTGGCACTGGTTTATAGTTAATTTTCTTGATCTCAGTAAAGAAAATATGCTGAGAATAAAAATGAAAGAAAAAAGAAAAAATTACATGATAATAGGATTAACCCTTAATAGAAATGTCATTTACAAATCTTTATTGCCTAGTTGCTTTTTTTGTTTGTTTGTTTACTGTCTAGTTTAATAGAGCTCAGTTGTATTCTTTTATCTGCTTTTGTCTTTGATCTTTTGGGCATTACATGTTTTGGTTAAAGTATGTGAAGTAAATCTGGCTCTATACATATTTGTAGTTGAAACTGTATGTTTTAATGACTAATTGTAAATTTTCCTTTACATTATTAAAGTAAAATTTTACAATTGGTGGTTTCTGAAAGGCTAATTGCAATGTAGAAGGTGAAACCACCTCAATTGGAAATGTCTCACTCTGTGTAACATTATAATCCATTGGTTTCTCTTGCACCTTGCATCTTTCATTCATGCATGATTTTGTTATGCCATGCATTTGTCATTGGGAAAATATTGGTTTGTTTAATTCTGTTTAGCTTCCAGATTGAGAAGTTGTCAAGTACACATGCTCCAAAATTCTGGTTTTCACTTGAAAGTTTGAATTTTATACCTGGTAACAAATCTGTTAGTTGTTTTCTTTGCTGTAACAAATTGGTTATCTTTGTTCATTTTAGAGAAGTCCTTTGCCAGATATTTAAATTTGAGTAACCGTAGTGTTATATACATGCTTTCATTTGAGATAACCATCATACTTAAGTATACAACAAAAGTGACTTATGTGTTTCCCATATTATCAGAGTATTATGACATTGAGAGGGTTGCAATTTAACAAAATTAATGATTTTTTCTAAACTTCATCAAGAATGTTCTTAAGGGTGAGAATGCCTTTTTAAAAAAAAAAAAACTACACATGCACGCAAGTGAAGAATACAAATGCTACTAGTACCTTGTACAGTTTGGTACTACTGTCTTAATTCATGCTAAACTGCTAGCAGCTTTACTTGGTTCTGCTTTTGGATCATGAATACAATTATGGTCAGTGCAAAGGCAAATAAAGTGAAATATGAAAATAGAGTTGATCTTACAAACTCTCTAAAAGGGCCTTGGTGATAGTTAGTATTGGTGAGAACAACAACAGTTTTCTTAAATCCTTTTTAGAAAATAAGACGTACTGAGGTTGAATTCTTGTTGACAGGAGATAGAATTACCTGTGTTGTTTTTAAAATAGAATTAATTTGTATAAGCATAGAGCTTCAGTTCAGCAAAAAGGAGAATGGCAGGGGAGGGGAGAGACTTTTGTGCATGCTTCAGTTATATTGGTTCTTAGCTTGACTTGAGAAGGCCACTAAGGAGAAAAGAACTAAAGTTTCTTTAATGGAATCATTCTTTCATAGCTACTATGTATAGTGATGGTCTAGTACTTATTTTGAAAACAGAAAGGGACACTAAGAAGAAGAACTCATATTTTATTCTTCATGGTCAGGGGAAAATTTAAATGTATTATATAATACGTTGAAACAGATGATACAGTAAAGAATTTTATTCGCTTCATATTCCTTTTATTTTGTTCAGGGAGATTATTTTCTAAAAATCATGATCCAAAAAATACTAAATTTATTTTTTCATTTTATTTTGCAGAAATTCAGAAAAACTTCCTTCTTGTAAGAAGCCAGAACCCCTGTCACCAGTCAAAGATAATATTCAACTAACTCCAGAAACAGATGAGAATATATTTAACAAATCTGAGTGTATGCATATTCAGAGAGCAATATTTCAATAAATGCAGTCTACTGCTTATTATAAGAGAATTTCTATCAACTTGAAGTCTCTGTTTGGAAATGAGACAGTTACCAGCCTGAAAGATTTCTTCTGAGATCTATGCCAATTTTAAAATAGAATACATTTTTAATATTAGCTGTATAATTGTTTTTTATGTTCTTTTCATATTTTCATAAGATCATAGAGAATTAATTTTATCATTGACAGTTTTTGAAAATGTTAATATTACCGAGGCAAGTCTCCTGGAATTTATAAAAAATCTACTCTAAATATTTGTTAAGTACAAGGAGAGTAAATGAAAAAAACACAATTCTGTAATCATGTTATTTAGAGGAATTCGCTGTTTTTCTCCTAGCTTTAATTTTTTCTGTTTGCTTGTCCTCTTTCAGGGTAGAATTGAAAATGAAGTTGCTAGGGGTGGAGGGGTAGTTGGGAAGGGTATAGACCATTGCACACATGGGACAGTGGTGTTACCCCTCAAGAGTTTGGCTGGGTTATAGGTAAACAGTGAAAGAAAATTACTTTCAGCAAAAGTAATTCTCATATTAATTCTTATATTAATATTCCTAAACTTGATAATAGTGTTTTTCTTAATGTATCTTTTTGAAACGTGCACTGTATTTAAGACTACTGCCCTATGTGTGACTTAAGATACTAAAGCCATAGAGTCATTGTTACATACATCTTGCCTGAATGCCTGGAGAGAAAACTGACTACACGAGGGAAGATGTGAAGTTAGAGTTGGTAGAGGAATTACAAAAAGTTTTATGAGATGTAGAGGATAAAGGAAGGGGACCCCAAAGTATTTTAATTTTTAAATGAAATATAGTAGAGGACTCTTGAATAAAGAGGACAGAATGGAACAAAAAATGTAATCGAAGGTTTTTTAAAAAAATTAAAATAATGTCAATGTGGAGAAGACCAAATTTAAGAAGAAAAATCCTACCAGATTGGTAGGATTTTCCTGGGATTTGAGAAACAAAATAATGCTTCTATTGTGCAGTGGGTTGTAAAATTTAATATTACTAATATGTTCATAACAATATTACCCTCAAAACTGAAGCTAATCATTAAATAAATAGCAAGTGATGCGCAACCACCGCCCACCATTGGAGAGGGGCAAGGCTGTGAGCCACAGGTGCGTGAAGAAGGCTGAGCACTGAAGAGAGAGCTGGAATACAAAAAAACAAAATAAAACTTCTGCACCACAGCCCTCTCCTAAAGGTCACACAGGAAGAACTTACAGCAACTACAAACCCAATTAAACCTGTTGCTGAACTTTACTAATGCCCCACACGAACCACCTTGGAGAGTCTTGCTCACCTCCATGCATAAATACTGTTCACCTCAGTCATTCATGTTCCATATCAACCGATGGCACTCAATCAAAAACTGAAACACACACAGACAAAAAAGAAAGCACTGTTAAGACAAGGTGCAGAACTAGACTCCGAGATAACCCAGAGAGTGGAAATTCCAGAAACAACTTTAAATAGATATGGTTCTCATGGTAAAGGTGAATAAGATGTATGAGCAGATGAGGGAATGTCAGTAAGACACAGAAACAGTAAGTAAAATAAAAAAGCTAGAAATACAAATATAGTAGCATAGATGAAGAGCCAAGGAAAGAACCAGTAAACTTGGAAATGATCAATAGGGCTTCTCTGGTGGCCCAGCGGTTGAGCGCTGGGCTGCAAAGCTGCCTGCAGCCTCTGCAGCGCCGGTTCTATCCCCGGCCATTGGGCGAGTGTCCCACATGGTGCGACAGACCTCTCCTGCCACCCGCTGCTCCCCTCAGCAGTGTACTTCATCAGTCTGCCTGCTCTGCTCTCCGCTCTGGCTCTGGTGAATTCTCTCACCCTCCCGCGCTTCTGACTGTACCCAGTGCTTGTCTAAATAAATAAATAAATGAATCTTAAAAAAAAAAGAAAATGATCAATAGAAATTACACAAATTGAAAAACAGTAGAATGTAAACACTGCAGCATTAAGAGCTATAGGGCAATTTGAGCAGACTGATAGATGTGCTTTAAAAACCCAGAAAGAGGGCCTTCCTGGTGGCGCAAGGGGTTGAGCACTGCCCTATGAAGCAATCAGCAGCCTGTGCAGCACGAGTTCAATCGCTGGCCAGGGAGCAACCCACATGGCACAGCAGACCTCTCCTGTCTCACCCACTGCTCCCCTTGGCAGTGTATTTCAGTTAATCTTCCTGTTATGTTCCCCACTCTGTCTCTGGTGAATCCTATCACCCCTTGCATCTCTGGCCTGTACTCCAGCTCTTGTATGCATAAATTTAAAAAAAAAACAAACCCAAAAGAGAGAGCATTAAATAGGGAGATGGGGCTGAGACTCAAGCTCTATCCCTTCTCTTCAGTGCCTGCCTCACCTTCCCCTTAGTTGTGCCTTGTGTCTTTTTTTTTTTTTCTGTTCTGTGCATTTCATGTAAATGGAGTCATATAATATGTAGATTTTTAAGTCTAGTTTCTTTCATATAGTATATTTTATTTATATATATTTTACATCATTCATTTTTGTACAATGTATGCTTTCTCCTCTCAGGTGTAGTCCCTGTAAAATTTCACCACCAAGCCTGCTGGTGCCAACTGTCAAAAAAACTTCAAGTCGGGCCTCCCCAGTGGCGCAGCGGTTGAGCGTTGGGTTGCGAACCTGCCCGCGGCCTCTGCGGCGCCGGTTCGATCCCCGGCTGCTCCCCGGCCACCAGAGGAGGGTCCCACATGGCGCGCAGACCTCTCCTGCCGCCCGCTGCTCCCCTCAGCAGTGTACTTCGGTCTTCTGCCTGCTCTGCTCCCTGCTCTGGCTCTGGTGAATTCTCTCACCCTCCCGCGCTTCTGACTGTACCCAGTGCATGTATAAACAAAATGAACAAATAAATAAATAAATAACATGCCTCTATTTAAAAAAAAAAAAAACTTCAAGTCATTGAAAGTGAAGATAGTTGCTTGAAATATGCTGGATTTGGGTGTCTAATCACTACATTTCATCTATTCTGAGGTACACAATGTAACAATTTTCAAAAAAGTATAGGTTTGTGTCTTGAAGTTAATGGAATGTCATTTTTTCTTTCAATGGTACATAACATAATTCATCTTACAATCAAATATAACTTCAGCTTAATACTAGTATTATTTTTAAAATATGGAAAACCTCACAAAACAGCTAATTGCTTAAATTACTAAGTCCCTAATGCCCTAGCTTTTGCTATAGATTGTTAATAAGTTATTATATTGTTACTAGATTAACTTTGCAAACACCACCTTGGTCATAAAAATTTGCCAGCCATTCCCAGAATCCCATCCCCACCACGCCTCCTCCACTAGGTGCTTTGTCCTGTCAATACCCACCCCCACCACTATTCTGAAATGCGTACTTCGTTGTGTATTTCTGTTTTATCACTAAAGTGTACCTTCTTACATGATCTAGCTTTGTCCATTTTTTTAACTGGAATTTCCCTCATTTCTTTGCCTTACAGCCTCAGAGCATTTAATCCACCTGTCCTCATAGTCTGGGCTTGCTAATTGCACGCTCTTGTTGCCTTTCCACAGTTTCCTGTCCTCTGAGGTCCTGTAAGTTGGCGGCTGAATCTCGGGGCACTGTCAGACTCATTGCCAATCCCTTCATCCCACCTCTCTGCCCCCTGCCTTCATAGGGACTCTTAGAGCTTTAGAACAACTTACATGTTGCCAGTTTCACAAAAACCCTCGCCTCCTCCCCTCTCCTCTGAGGCCCCCAGCCCCCCTTCCTTTATAATTTGGTCACATCGTCTCTTTATCAGTATAACTACTGCTGGATTAGTGAATGATTTCTCTGGTCACTGTTTTCCAGGTCAGGGTGGTCCCTCTCATCCGGGAAAGAGACTGCTTTGGTAACCCCCTCTAGAAGGGGCAGCTAAGGCTGAGGGGCCCAGGAAAGGGTGCCTGTCCCCACCTAGGATCATGTACCGCAGAATCCTGAAGGGACGCCACTAATTCTCCATACACTCCACGTGCTCTTTTCTCCCTTGTTGGAAGATCAACTTCCATACCTTGGTATGCCTGTGAGATGCATCCTCCTTCATTGGGACACCTCTGACCCCCAACTATAACTAACCTCTATACAAAGTGCCAGAGAGAAAATTGTGGCCACTAAATGGAACCCTAGAGTATTACACCATCTTGCAGCTTGATCTTTTTTTTTAATGAGGGAAAATGGTCTGATGTCTCTATTTTCGAAACTTCTTGGCCCTAGGGCTAACCTGGACTTATGTAAGGATTGTCGGGTTGGTGTCGATACCTTGGCTCTCCTTGGACCTGCCCCAGAAGAGACCCCTGACCCCTCTCAGGCAACCTCCCTACCCCAGGCCTTGCTGAGAATGAAAAGCACTAGCTTAGTCATTTTCCTGCCACCTCTGCATGCCGCCTTCTCCCTCTCCAACTTAGCATCCTTCCCAGGTTGCCCTCTCACTCCCTTCTCTGCCCTCTCCAAGAGGCATCTGGCCCAAATGGACGAGTCCAAGTAAATGTGCCCTTTTCTAAGTGATCTAACCACAGTTATAGTAGTCTTGGAAAGTGCTCAGACAATCCAGATAATATAAAAGGATTTTAAAAACTGCATCTCCTTTGACCTTAATTGGAGGGATGTCTTAGTACTGCTTAATCAGACCCTATCCTGGAAGGACAGATAGTTGAAGTGGGCATACAGTTTCTGGACTGACTGCACATGTCAAATGCCCAACACCCAGTGGAAACAGTAGCAGTGTTCACACCCGACCTGCTCAGATTCTAACTGCTGCAGGAGTATGGGCCTGAGATAACCTCACTTGCTTACTAGATGGAATGAAAAATAGCAGACAAATGCATCAATTATACCAAACTAGCTACTAGCCATCTGTGTCCAGGTGAAAGCCCCATGGCCTTAAGACTGTGAGAGGCCCTAATCAAACATACTAATCTGTACCTGGGCTCGCTTTTGAAGTTTTGAGGCCCCAATTCCTTTATCAGTGAACTCCTGGTGATCCTTAAAAAAAAGTCAACACTTCAAGTCTACCTAGAATTAGTAATGTGTGTTACATATAAAGTATAAAAACCCTAAAGCTGTGCAGGGTCATTCCCAGCCACTTCTTTTCTGCAGTTGTCACATGTATAAATCTGCATATTTTACACCACATAATGCAGTTATAAATCCTTGCTCTAAAAAGTCATTTATATTTTAAAGAGATCAAGGAGGAAAAGTAGTCTTATATTTGCCTACAGTTATTATCTTAGGGCTCTTCTACAAGGGAGTTACAATGCACTGTGAGAAAAAGATAGTCATGGAGGTCATAGAGAATAATTGAAGACAACACACAAGTATTATAGAATTTATAAATCACAGAAAGAGTCCCCAATAGCCAAAGGAATTATCTGGGTGATTTAGATACTGACCTCCTTTTCTAGTTTATATTTTATTTCTCTGATCAAATCATATGGGATTTTCTTTTTCCTATCCATCTTTTATAAAATCAGATCTAACAAAACTGTCTATATTTCCTGTCCCTGTGTTAGTTGGCAGACTGAGGGCAGCTCAAGACCCCCAACATGCATGCTCTTAATATGTTCTTCCACTCACCACATAAAGACAAAGTATATATTTTTTTTTTAAGATTTATTTATTTATGCATACAAGAGCTGGGGTACAGGCCAGAGATGCTGGGGGTGAGAAGATCACCAGAGACAGCAGGGAACAGAAAATGCAGGCTGACTGAAACACACTGATGAGGGATGCAGCAGGTGATTCAGGAGAGGTCTGCCTCACCCTGGCTGGCCTGGGATCGAACTTGTGCTGCAGAGGCTGCAGATTGCTTCATAATGTGGTGCTTAACCCCTTGCGCCACCAGGGAGGCCCCAAAGTATATTCTTAGTGCATAAGACAAGACCTTCAACAGAAAAGAGCTTTAATAGAATCACTGTGCATAGAAGAGAAATTATATAATTTTCCAGTGAATACTCAAAGTTACCCATAACCTTGTGGATAAATGCCCAGTCAAACAGTGTTGAACTATAGCAGGGCCACTGAGGCCTGAAAGCTTGTCATAAGTGTAGGGCTCGTTCTGGTGGGGATCCGTAAAATGGGCCAAAAGGGCCAGATAAGACCAGAAGTAAAGTAGCGAAATCAAAATACAAGTCAAGATAAAAGCTGCCATTGTCAACCTCCCAACATGTCCTAAGTCTCATACCCATGTCTTTTCCAAGTATTTCCTTCCATGTCCCCCAAGTCCCTGGTTCAAATCCAAGGCTGTGAAGCAAGCACAGCTTCTTCATATGTCTTCTACTCCACGTGCCCCCTCCAAGTCTTCCCATCAAGTCTTCTCTTCCAAATGCTTTTTAGTGCCTCCTCAACACTCAGCTCTACCATTTAGTAGGTGGGGCAGGGAACACAGAACCTCCCCTTTTTAGACTACACTGTTATTATACCTTATGCATTTTACAAGTTGGTTCTACGTCATGATAACACCTTAGATAAAAGAACAGGGCTCCCTGGGCCTCTGTATCTTCAACTGAGATATTGCAATTGCTTCTTTCAAATCTCCCTTGAGAAAAATGTCATTTTGTCTCTGTATAGTTGCCGGTTTTTTTTTCTTGGTGAAACTACTCAATCACCATCACCAGGTGGCGCCTGTCCAGCTTTTGTAGATTGTAGGCCAGCAAACAGTTTTTAAAGACTGAAACCATTTTAAACCTCTTAATGGGGTATCTGAATCCTCAGAAAGGCTGGTATGGGGCAGGGGTGATTACTTACAGCTATATGATTAGAGTAACTAGGAACATTAAACGTGGGTCTTTGATGTGAATGCTAATGAAGAAGTTTCTAAATTAGTCACCCAGAGAAAAGAACCACTGACTTTAGAGTAAGAAAGTCCATAATTTCAATAGAGCCCTTTCAACACTTTCTGTTAAGGCAACTGGAACCTAAATGAGGTCACCTCAGAGGCAGTGAGTGGAGTGACCCAAGTGACAGGTGGAGCAGGGTCTGGAGTGAAGACTCAAATCACCAGGAAGGAAATGGGAAAGGCTAGAGAAAAGCAGAGGATTTCTGGTAACAGAATAGTCAGTAGCAGCTATAGCCACAGAATCTTGAACAGAAGTTTGGCTGGAATAGACAATTCATTTTACTTCTGCATATGTCTTTTATCAGAGGGTTTCACAACACTGTTCACAGAGTTCCTCGTTCAGGGAGCAGTTGCCCTGTCTTAGGAGCATTGCCGTGGAGTCAGCATTCATGTTGATGGAGAACAGAGTATACTGGGAGAGACCTAGCATGAGGAACGATGCTGGCACTGACAGGGCTAGGGAAGGAGGGCCGGGCACTAGGCCTGTTGCAGGCAGCCACAAAGGGAAATGGTATCCTGGGTGCGAGTCCTCACCCACACTCTTAAGGACTCAGGACAATACTCAAAGAACAGAATACAGGCAAAACTTAATGAAAAGGTTTATTTACAAGGGAAATGAGAAGAGGGAGATCACAGAAAGAGATCAGTTGGTCGATACTTCCTACCAGTAATGCTGTCTGAGCTGGGG